ATTATCATCTCCATCTCTAGCCGAAGAGGCACTAGTTATGTGACTTGATGGGGTAGGGAAGGATGCAGTGGGGATTTGAACTCAAACCCTGTGCTAGCCTGGTTGCTCAGTAGCCTTTCTCTTTAAACAATGAAAGCAGTCAATATTATCAATTAACCTTTGGGCCCATCATTACTTGCATTCCACAAACTTAATATAATATTTTTTTTTGTTTTTATCTCTTAATATCTATGTGATTATACACTCAATTATTTCATTTATTGCTCATTTAGAAAATATATACTTTTTTCTTAAGAGATTGACTTTTTAAAAATTTATCAATCACAAGTTTGCTTCCATTCCATTGGAAAATGAACATTTCTGCAGCATTCGGATTTGTTATAACTTTTTGCTACAAAGATAATATGTATTCATTTGTAACACTGTAAGACACAGCAAACCAAAAATATAAAATTATGCTCACACCTACAAGAAAATGCTTTTAAGATTTTGGTATTCATTCTTCCATTCTCATGTACTAGAGGTCCAGTGCATGAAAATTCATGGACTGAAGGGGGGGTCCCTCAGTCTGGCCTGCTCACAGTCTGGGAGCCCTCAGGGGCAGGAGGCAACCCAGCCATCAGGGAAGGCGATGCCCCCATCACACCTCTGCTGCTGCCACTGCTGGCAGCGCAAGCCTCAGCTGGCCCTGGTTACCTGAGTCTTGGGCGGCCTTGGGCGGCTGGGCAGCTGCCATCCAAGGCTTGCCTGCGCCTTGGGCCGGCCCTGAGTGGCTGGGGGGCTGAGGGTGGGTCCAGCCACACTGCAGGCCTGCCACCCCCAGTGGGGCTGAAAGGACTGGACACTCGGGTGGGGCTCTGGGGACTGGGCACCGCCATCTTGTGGCTATGGGCACCACCATATTTGTGATGGTGTGATGGTCAATTTGCATATTATATCTTCATTAGATAGGATATGTGTGTGTGTGTGCGTGTTTCTTTAAAAATTTAGGAGCCTGTAAATTCATTTTAATGTTTGGCTTTGGCCTTATTTTAAGTCTTTATTTTTTAAATAATTAAGCTTCATGATTGTTGTATCTTCCTGCTGAATTGTCCCTTTTATGAGTAAGTAGCACTTCTCTTCATTTGATAAATGTTTATCACTTTATATTCTATTTTTTCGTATATTAGTACTGTTTATCACTTTGTTTTTAGTATTTACTTTGCATATTTTCCCTTCTCTTTGATGTCAACATTTTTGTTTTAATTTATTTGAGTGTGCTTTTGTGTTTTTAAATCCTATATGACAATATCTACCTTTTCATAGGTCATTGTACCACTGGCATTTACTGTGGTTTCTAATATATTCAGGCATGTCTCTTCTTCTTTATGTGGTCTTCTGTTAACAATGCATTTTCTTGGCTTACTTATCCTGGTTCCCTCCCTCCCTCCCTTCTTTCTTTCCTTCCTTCCTTCCTTTCCTTCCTTTCTTTCCTTTCCTTCCTTTCCTTCTTTTCCTTCCCTCCTCCTCCTTTTTCTTTTGATTAAAACACTTCAATCCCTCCTTTTCCCCTGCTGCTTTGGAAGTTTGGTTTTGCATCTATTCTTTTAGTGGTAACCATTAATAATCTCTGTACTATATTCCTTGTGCTGTACTCACACCCCTGTGCTATTTTTATAACTAGCAATCTGTACTTCTTCATCCCTTCCACTATCTTGCCCATCCCCCCAACCCCTGTCATGTGGCTTCCATCTGTACCTTCTCTGGATCTAGGAGTTTGTTTCTTCATTTATTTTGTTTTTTAGATATGGGTACCATATGATTACACTTACATGTGAAATCAAAGAAACAAAATAAACAAACAAAACAGTGATAAAATTTTAACACATGCATTCAACTATACATTTTTCTTCCCATGTCTGCAGTTACTCAGTATTGCTGCCATCTTCCTCTTTATGGTAATGAGTTTAACATATTTTAACTATCCACTGGCCTTCTTCCCTGAACTTTCATCTTATAATTGTTTATCTATAATTTTAGTTTCATTCTTTTTTAAACACAAATATTAGTGGTTTACTTTTCAAATATTCCATAGTGAATTAAAATTGGAATCATATTTTACCACCATCCTTGCTTTCTATTGTCATCTCTCATCCCTTTCTTTTGGGTACAAATTATTTCTTACTGAGTTTATATACTTCACCGACTGTTTCACAGAAGGTCTGTGAGTGGTAAACAATTTTAGTATTTTCCTGTCTTTATTTTATCTTCATTTTAAAATTACTATGTAAGTTGACTATAGAATTCCAGGCTAATAGTTATTTTATCTCATCCCTTTAAAAGTATTAATCCATTGCATTTTTGGTATCAATTGTTGCCGAATAACCTCATGTCAGCCTAACTGGCATTTCTATTAAGGTGATAGATCTTTTCTTTCTAGTAGAGTTTAAGATTTTCTATCTTTAACTTTGTATAGATTGAATCCAATATATCTAGGGATGAATTTATTATTCTTTATCTGGCTTGGCACTTGGTATAACTTTCCATCTGAATATTCATGTTTTCTTTTCAATTTTGAAAAATGATCAGGTACGTATCCCTTTACAAATTGCTTCTTAGCCATTCCCTCTGTTTTATTTTCCATTAGAAGTGCCTGCTAATCTGTATTTTATGTTTCTTAACTATTCTTTAATACCTTTCATTTCTTTGTACTGTATTCTGTATATTTTAATGGTATTTCAATTGAAAACAGTGGCTGTGATACCTATATATGTCATTTTACCTAAAAATTCTGCTCCTCGTTTGAACTACTCTTTCAATATTCTAAAAATATATGCCTTTTGCCCTAACCGGTTTGGCTCAGTGGATAGAGTGTCAGCCTGCGGACTCAAGGGTCCCAGGTTCGATTCCAGTCAAGGGCATGTACCTTGATTGCGGGGGCTGATCGATGTTTCTCTCTCATCGATGTTTCTAACTCTCTATCCCTCTCCCTTCCTCTCTGTAAAAAATCAATAAAATATATTTTTAAAAAATAAATAAAATAAAATAAAAATATATGCCTTTTATAAGGCCTCAGAAATATAGTCTGGTTCATTTAAATAATACATCAATAAATATGCTAACCCTGAGAAGAGAAAGAGCTCTAAGACATGGTCCCTGACCTAAAGCTCAAGGTTTTTATAATTGAGTGGAACAAAGACAAACAGATTATTTTAATAGTGTCCATGTGACAAGACCTCTAAGAGTGACATATACAGGATGAACTAAGGTTAAAGAAAAGGGCATTTGGCTCTAACAAATCAGGGAAATAGGGAGGACATGATGCTCAAACAGGATTTTAAGAAAAGAATAATATTAACAAGGGAGATATGAGCTAAGTGAGACACTCCCAACTAACATTTTCCATTTTCCTTCACTCTCAACCCATGAGTTTGCCTTTGAGTTTGGAAAAATAAGGTTATTTAGATAAAGTAGGTGTGTCTTTTATGGCCAATGTACCAGTTCTTGGTGTTTCCTGAAGCTGTCACCAACTACCCAACATATTCTCACTGCTTACTGTGTTTTCATAGGCACCTTGTGTTTCAACTAAAATGACCATATAATTTATGGTCCTAACTCAGGTAATTTGGGAGTAAAGGGGGCACTATTGCTAATCACATCAGGAGACCAGGTATAACTGATTATTATAGCTGATCACCTTATGTATCTATCCTACCTTGTCATCTAGATCGTGGGTCCTTACAAGACACATCTTTTTGCTTCTAGTCATTATCCCTAGTCACTCCACCCTCTCCCTCAGGCCCAAGCAACCACGAATATATTTTCTGGCTCTATAGATTTGTCTACTCTGGACATTTCATAGAAATGGAATTGTATAATATGTTGTCCTTGTGACCGGCTTTTTTTTCCACTTAGCTTATTGTTTCCAAGGTCTGTCTATGCTGTAACATGTATCATACCTCATGTATTTTTATTGTTAAATGGTATTGAATAAATTACATTTTGTTTACCTGTTAATTTGCTGGCAGATACTTCGGTTGCTTCCACCTTTTGGTTATTGTGTGTAATGCTATTATTAAAATGAGTGTACAAAAATCTACTTGAGTCCCTGCTTTCAATTTTCTTAGGTGTGAAATTGCTGGGTCATAGAATAATTACATGTTTAATGTTTTGAGGAACCACCATACTGTTTTTCAGTGGTTGTACCATTTTATATTCCAACCAACAATACACAAATATTCTAATTTCTCCATGTCCTTACCAACATTTGTTGTTTATTTCTTTTTGAGTATAGCCATTCTATAGGGTGTGAAGTGGTATCTTATTGTGGTTTGATTTGCATTTCCTTAATAACTAATGATGATGATCATCTTTTCATGCTATTATTGTCCATTTGTACACATTCTTTGGGAAAATGTCTATTAAGATCCTTTGCCCATTATTAAAAATTTGTGTTATATATCTTGTATTATGGAGTTTTTCTAATCTAGTCATATGCAGATGTGAATTCCCTATAAATCAGATGAAGCTTAAACTTTAGAGTCTCTTATTCTCATGAGCCCCTTCTAAGACCCTCAGTGGACTCTAGGAATGTGTTCAGGTAAAGATATTTTTTATAAAATGTGGAGAAAATTATTTTTAAACAATTGTCAACATTGCCATCTCTTTCCACTCTGACTTCCCTTCAGTCATACTTCCGTTCTAGTTGACTGGTGTTGAAGTGGCCACAGACATTTTTATATTCATAATTTGATATATTCTTCCTTAAAGAGGGCACCCAAATTATACACCTTTGAGCTTTATAAAACCTGGACATGTCCCTATTCTCTTCAGAGCCTTCTTTTTTTGATTCTCAAATACCTAGTTTGGAAGTAGAAACAAAATTCTCTACATAAAATTTTCCTTCCTTTTGGCAAATTTCTGCTATGCAAAAATATAATTCTTATTCGGGTATGTGATGGTCTCTGACTGCTTACAGAGGTTAGCATACAGCTCTCACATTATTTCTCCTCTCCTGTTAGCTCCTGTCATCACCACTCCTCTTGAAACAGTGGATGCCCTAGTTGAAGAAGTGGCTACTTTCATGTGTGCAGTGGAATCTTATCCCCAGCCTGAAATTTCCTGGACTAGGAATAAAATTCTCATCAAGTAAGTATTCTGACTTTTCTGGCAAGAATGCCAATACCACCTTGCAATATATCTTGACATGAATGCAACCACAGCCCTTGGAAGTATTAAAGTTCGCCTTCTGTGACATGTAAAATGCAAATGTCCTCCTTTTATAAATGTTAGATCTGAACTTCAGTGAGGTTAAGGGAATTGCTCAAAGCAAAATAGTGATTTAATTGACATGGGAAAGTTGGGACTATTTGCTTCCTTGAATCCCAAAGAACTAGAACTATGCTTTGCACATGCTGAGCAGTCACCATTTATTCACTTAATGAATGCATAAATACTCAGTTAATTTACTTATGTAAATATTTAACCCTTTCTGCTAGTTACATTTGTGTATTTGTGTGTGTGTGTCTGTGTTTTCATTATCCAGCTACTATTTCCCAGTAATTGTGGGAATATGACTCTATATCTTTTTTTAAAAATATATTTTATTGATTTTTCCACAGAGAGGAGGGGAGAGGGATAGAGAGTTAGAAACATCGATGAGAGAGAGACATCGATCAGCTGCCTCCTGCACACCCCCCACTGGGGATGTGCCCACAACCAAGGTACATGCCCTTGACCGGAATCAAACCTGGGACCCTTCTGTCTACAGGCCAACGCTCTACCACTGAGCCAAACCAGTCAGGGCATGACTCTATATCTTGGTAATAATATGCTTTCCTGAATAAAGTAAATTTTACCTTTCATCTTATCAGTAGACATCCCCATTTTTGAAGGACTCAATAGTGCTTTGATTATTGGAGCCCAGCAAAGATTAGAATATAATGTTAGCTTTATATTACTAAATATGATTATTTTATTATTCAGAAGACACTCAAGTTTCCTCTGACTTTCAATCTACTTTCTCATTGACAAGTTATCTTTCTAATCAGTTCACCGTAGCCCAAAAATCACAGGTGAGGCTCTAACCTGGCATTTTCCTCTGTGACCTGCAGGCTCTTCGACACCCGGTACAGCATTCGGGAGAACGGGCAGCTCCTCACCATCCTGAGTGTGGAAGATAGTGATGACGGCATTTACTGCTGCATCGCTGACAATGGCGTGGGAGGAGCTGCGGAGAGCTGCGGGGCTCTGCAAGTGAAGATGAGTGAGTGAGAAAGATAATCATCTATTGATTTAATTTTTAAAAATCTTTAATGTTGAAAGTTTTACAGATGTCCCCTTTTTCACCCATTGACCCCTCATAGCCGGCCCACACCCTCTGCCCCAGGCCTTCAGCATCCTATTGTCTGTGTCCATGGGTTAAGCATATATGCATACAAGTTCTTTGGTTTCATCTACTGATTTTAACATTTGGAACAGGTGGTAAATAAAGCTTCCCATAACTAGAGGTTCAGAACTTAGACAAGTTCAAGTTCAAAACACAACCTTGAGACAGTTAATTCCACACCTCTTATTTCTGCCATCAAACACAACCCTAAAGGCAAGTCTCTTAGTCCCGGTACTCTCCATTTTCTTGCCTTGTTAATTTTGAATGTTTGTTTCCCTTTAGAACCGAAAATAACTCGTCCTCCCATAAATGTAAAAATAATAGAAGGATTAAAGGCAGTTCTACCATGTACTACAATGGGCAATCCCAAACCATCGGTGTCATGGATTAAAGGAGATAGTGCTCTCAGGGTAAGTGATTATTATGTTAAAGCATGTATATAAACATATTTTCAAACACAAAAATCCATAGCAAACTCCATTACAAACTTACAAACTTTGATTATAATATTTTTTTCCACATACAGCATTTTAACCAAACTTAAACATATCTGTTCCTTTATATGCAAATTTTAAGGCAATCCAGCTGGGGCTGGCTAGGGAAAAATGAGATGGGTACCTATAGTGTCAGGGAGGAAAAAGGAGGCAAAGCAAAAGCAAAGCTAGAGGCTTTTTTGTTGGTTGGTTGAACATTTATTTTTCAACACTGGATCACAGAGACTTACAAAATAAAAAAGAAGGAACTAAAATCCAAGCTTTAGACCTGACGAACAGTTTCTGGGAGGAGAGAGAGAAATGAGGTTTAGGAGAAAAGGAATGAGAACACTCTGGAGTGGAGTTAGAGCATGAAGACTCAAGTCTGGTGAACAAGCAAACATCTTGACAAATACCCCAATCACAAAGAGTAGTCAAAAGTTATTAGTCAAAAGTTATTATTCGCATGCTTACTTGGTACTGCTTTTGTATCATATCTTACACCAACATAATAGAATATCCCATAGGGGATTCATATATATGTCAAATAATTCAATATCAAATTAATTAGCTTTTTTAGAATTTAAAATAAAACACAAAATGTTAAATATTTTGTGGTAATCTATATATGCTCCTCTGGCTTTCCTTTTGCTATAAATACTGGTGCATTTCCAACAATAAAAGCAAGGTGTGGCTCTATATATGTTACTGAATTTAGAGTCCTAGAAGAGAAGATAAAGTAATATTTTAACTTCAAAAACCAATTTTTGCATTATTTGTAGAACTTACCATGTTTTTTCAAAGGACCTATATTCCCTTAAGGATACTACATAGAGTGTTCAGTAAATAAGGTAGTAAAAAGCAATGCTTTTAATCAAGAAGACTTGGGTATGGTTTTTAGGAAATCAAATAAGCCTTGGTATAATTGTGTGATGAAAGAAAATAAAAATAAACTAATCTTATGGGATGATTATAAGGTTAATTTAGGTAATCTTATACTATCTCATTTACTATCGAATATTATACATTGTAAGTGCCAAACACAAATGTTCAAAATGATATTCTTGATGATAACAGTGATGAAAATAACTTGATGAAATGTGGCAAATGTGTCCTTGATAGAGCCATGGGCCTTTTAAAATTCATGTCCTTATCCCTGGCAGGAAAATTCCCGCATTGCAGTTCTTGAATCTGGGAGTTTAAGGATTCATAATGTGCAAAAGGAAGATGCAGGACATTATCGATGTGTGGCAAAAAACAGCCTTGGGACGGCATATTCCAAATTGGTGAAGCTGGAAGTTGAGGGTAAGGAGCTGCATTCCTTCCCCTGAGTGTTATCAAGAGGCCTCAGGTTCTGCTGTGAAGGCTCTATTGTATGTAGCTGGCAAAAGTAGAGGGGTAGGTAGTTTAGTTCCCTCAACTGTTCCAGATATTAGACTCTAAGATCAAGACTGTGAAAGGAATAACTAAAAAAAGAAAGAAAATTTCATTGGCATAATAGGTCATATTCCATCTATTGCCTACAATCACAGGTAATTTTGACCAAAACAAATTAAATGCACTATGACACTAAAACTAAAGGACACTGCTTTGGAATGTCTGACTGGCATGGACAAGTCTTCCTAGTTAATAAATTTGAAGACATTTGATCTTTTGCAGTATGTAGACATGATTTTGAAAATGTTACCAAAATAAAATAATGTTTTTCTTCAAACTGTATTGTTACAAAGCATTGAAAAAAAAATACTCAGAACGTATAAGCAAAAACAGTCCTACTTCTAGGAGATACATTGTTAAAGTATTTTTTCATATTTAAAATGTTCTATAATCAATTACTTCGACAACTCTCTGTGAAAGTTCTTCACTGAGAAATCAGAATTCACATAGGGCTAGATGTTTTACCCATTTGGTCGTTGGATCCTTCTTGACCTAAAATTACAGCACATGTTGCTTAAAAATAGAAGCTACCAGCACATCTGTGCTAGGTGAGCGAAGTGAATACAAAATCATTCCCAGCTCTTCCTGTTACAAGCTATTGAGTTGACCTCTCTGGTTCCCAGTTTTCTCATTTGTACAGTGGAGTTTGTTGTATTCAGTGAGGCGTTGATAATATTTATCATGTGTGGCCTTTTGAAAACAGTAAATATTGACTAAGAATCATCACCTATTTTTCTGCTTATTTCTTATCTGATTGACACAGTAATTGAACTATCATATACTTGGTACAATTATATTCCAGTTCAATTAGGGATGACGTTTAGGATTCCCCACAGCTTACTTTGATTTTATCCTACCCTTAATCCAAAATTTAATCATTCCTACATCTCCTCTTTCTCAATCATATAGTTTGCTATTATTAGCTCCTTTAAGATTTTTATTTCCCAGCTAGATCTTCCTCTCACAGCTCTAGTGATCTCACTTCCCACATTTACTTCTTCTTGAGATAACATGTTTATTATGTTATTGCATCAACTGCTCATAAAATTTTTATGAATTCCTAATGAAAATAAATGCAGTTGTTGAGAATAGTGACTGTCAGATGTAAAAAAGGATGTATTTTCAGCCTAGTTGCTATAATTTAATATATTCTAAATCATCAATGCTAATAGAGCTCAGTATGCAACAATCAGTTGATGTTAATTATACAGTGAAAAATAAGCATACAAACACATTCAGTTGCACACTTTGACACATTGATTATCTGCCTGGATTCAGTGTTTGCTTGAACTATATGTGTAATGATGCAGATTAATGTTATCCATTTGTATACACTATCATAAAGATTTTCCTCACCAATATATGAGCTTCTACATTATAATATACTAGAGGCCCAGTGCACGAATACATGCACGGGTGGGGTCCGGCCAGTCTTCCCTGATTGGGGCCCATCAGGGCCAGGCCAGCTTAGGGGAGGGGCCTCACGAGGTTGGCCGGAGGGCCCCACCCCCTATTGGGCCAGTTGGCTGGCTGCAGTGTGTGTCATGGCGACCATTCTGGTCATTCTGGTCGCTTGGCTTTTATATATATATATACATGATACTATTTTTTAGGTCACTGTCTTCATAGATATTGAAATGATTTACTTTGACTTTGGCTAGAGAAAATTATTAAAAATCTCAGATATTGGAGTTCAATTACACCATTTAGTCCTACCTTGCCATTTAATTTTGTATCATGTTTATCATTAAAACTGAATACTCTTTTCTTTCTTCCTAACGTTTAAATGGTCATGCTCATTTCTTTAACAGTTAATATATGCTGGAGGTTTTCTTAAACTTGCTAGTGTTGAGAGCTGATCACATTATTTAAAGTTACTCTAACAGCAGGCAAAATGATCATTTTATCACACATGTCTAATTTCTACTCCATCCTAGTCCCTATACAAATAGCTGATATACATGAAAATTTGTGACATGCTTAGCAAAGTTGCTGGTACATAATAAGCATTTATTAATGGCATTGACTATAATTAGAACATAAAAATTACAGCAAATCTGTTTTGGTTCTTGAAGATCTGAAAAGTTGTCTTCCACTTAAAGAAATAGTTGAGGCATTTCCACAAGATATAATGCAACATGACCTATTTAAAGGAAGGGCCAATTCAGCCAACTACTCAGAACAGGTGAAAATGCAACTGAGAAGAATCTCAAAAGTGCCTGCAAATACCCCCTAGGTTGGCAATGGAGAGGGCCGAAGATGAATCTGGGCCATGGTCAGTCAGGGCAGATGAGCATTTGCTACATGTTGTGTCATTAACTCTGAAAATTAGTTCGAGCAAATTAGAAGGAGAACTCCACAGTGCCATTGGATTCTGAGCTACACTTATTCCAAGTGAGTAGGAAAAGACAGGGCTTTGTTCACCATTGCTAGCTTCCCATGAGGATATGCAGGCCAGGCCGTGGATTTGGTACAGTGTGTTCACTAGATCCTAGGTGCCGTAACAAAAAAAGCAACACCCTTCAACGTAGAAGCAAAGCTCCCTTTCTGGATTGCCATCCTCAGTCGGTGTGTCTCTGGAATGGCAAGACAAAGATATTCTACCCTCCCGTCTTATCTTACAAGGTTCAGACCGTGACATGCAAAATTACTGATGGAACTCTACCTCAAGCATGGTCAAACATGGGTGTTTTTCTAAAAGGAGGGGCAATGGATGTCTAGCACTTAAAAATACTAAATGCCTTATGTGGATTAATTTATTTAATCCACACTAATGGTCTGTGACAAAGGTTTATCATTGTGCTATTTTAGGAAACTGAGGAACAGAGAGGATAACGAACTCAAGGCTGCACAGATAGAAGTGTCTAAGAAACTAAGTAATTTTGAATGCTGTCTGTTCCATTAAAGAACAACATAATCATGTGTGAAACTGTCCAGAATAGTGTCAGAAGGGGGATTGCGGAAGAAGCTAGAATTATGTAAATAATGGAGACTAGAAATTTTTTTAAAAAGAGAGACAGTGGGTGTAGATAAAGTTTTCAATAAATTTAGCAGCAAAAAGGGCAGAGTCAAAAAATGAGCAGTAGCTGGAGGCATATAGTGTTGGTTTGCAAAATTTCTTTTTTTAAAAGATAAAAAATGTTCAAGTATTAATGAGAAGGAGTCTAGAGAGAAGGAAATTTTGAACATATGAGAGAGACGGAAGATTCAAAGGAATATTGGTGGTGCTTGAGAAGGCAAAAGGTATGTATTCAGGGGACAAGTGATGTGATGAACTTTATACAGAGGGTGACCACATGTCCCAGTTTTCCCAGGACGTTCTGGCTTACACCTGTTGTCCTGGAATAATTATTAATAGAGTCTCTCTATTACTTTCAAAAGTACCCAGGCTTCAACGATAAATTATATGATCACTGTGCTTAGTCAGGAAGAGAAAGTTCCTTCCTTGTAATAGGAAGAAAGGAAAAAGCGGTGTATTCCAGCATAAATGAGTTAATGTGTTTGGTGGATAGAATTTGAGAACGCTCTGTTCTGATGGTCTCTATTTCCTGTAGGAAGTAGAAAGTAAGTTTATCTTCTGAAAATACTTCTATAAAGGGGGGCAGAGGGATGAGGAGAGTAGAAGGGTTTAAAATAGCTGTGGAGAATGGGAGAGATGACTCACAAGGGAAACCGGGATTCCTGGGTGACATTAAGTGGAGAATGGGACGTGAATATAGAGTGGGGGTTTTTATTGTTGGTTGGGGGTGTTTTTGCCTAGTTGTAGGTTATTTCCTCAGCTTTGCTCAGCATTACAGGTATAAGTTCACACAAAGTAGAAAGCCAAATCCAGGGCAAGAATCAAGCATTGGAGTTTTGCCAGGAAGAAATGAAAATAGGGCAAAGGATTTGAGAATATTACAAGAGAATAATCAAAGCGATGAATCATGCAGTCTTTATGTACCAGATAACACAAACTTCGGATTAAACACTTACAGCTCCAGCAATTTGACAGACAGGATAATATGAAAATTTTATGACTAAAACACCCAGAAATTCTGAGTTGGTTCCGAGTTGGTTCTTGGTTATTCACAAGAATAAAATGTAAATCTTCAAAGGTCAGGAATGAGTAGGAATTTTTAAAACAGAGCCATACGCCCATGAGCTAGTTCTGCATTGTCCTGGAGGTAATGAGAGATGATGTGCCCATCTTTACAACCTGCATTCAGACAAATCCTGTTTTGGGTACACTGGTGCACTGCTGGTGGGAATGCAGACTGGTGCAGCCACCATGAAAGACAGTATGGAGTTTCCTCAAAAAGTTAAAAATGGAACTCCCATTTGACCCAGTGATCCCACTTCTAGGAATATATCCGAAGAAACCAGAAACACCAATCAGAAAGGATATATGCATCCCTATGTTCATAGCAGCACAATTCACCATAGCGAAGATCTGGAAACAGCCTAAGTGCCCATCAGCAGATGAGTGGATTAGAAAACTGTGGTACATCTACACAATGGAATACTATGCTGCTGTAAAAAAGAAGGAATTCTTACCATTTGCAACAGCATGGATGGAACTGGAGAGCATTATGCTAAGTGAAATAAGCCAGTCAATGAAATAAAAATACCACATGATCTCACTCATTTATGGATAATAAAGATCATTATAAACGGATGAACAAAAATAGATACAGAGGCAGAGCAGCATCGAACAGACTGTCAAACTACAGCAGAAAGGCTGGGGAGGGTCAGGGGGTAGGAGGGGGGGGGGTAAGAGATCAACCGAAGGACTTGTATGTATGCATATAAGCATAACCAATGGACACAGACACTGGGGGGTAGGGGAGGCCAGGGGAATGTTGGGGGGGGGGGCGGGAAGGAGACATATGTAATACTTTTTGTAATACTTTAAGCAATAAAACAAAATTAAAAAATAAAAATAAAAAAAACCTGGTGAAGTGTAGAGTACATGTAATCCAAATTAAAATAGATGGATGTTGGAATGTCTTGGGTTCCTGTGGATTGCATTTTCTATTACAACCTTGTTTACCCTTGGAGCTTTAAGACATTAAGACAAAAAAATTGGGCAAAGTTGAAGCTGGAACCAAGGGAGGGTTCTCAGTCAGCAATACTAGTGGGAAGAGGTGGCTTAAGATCAGTACAAAGCTGAGAGCCCCAGAAGCAGAACAAGAACAAGAACAGAGCCCTTCTAGGCAGAGGGTTAGTGTAGGCTTTCCTGCCGCTTAAACAACTTCTCAAAGCAGAACCGTGTGTCAACACTTGGGGGAGGCATTAATGGGGAGTGAGGATGGAAGGACAGCCATTTGGCAAATTTAAGTGGCCTCAAAGCATGAGTGCCCATCACTTATCTGGGCACTTGAGTCTGTCCGTCTACTGCTGTGATAAGGCTTCACCACATACTCTTAGGGCTGACCAGTTCTATTGAAGGCATTTTTAAAAAGAATTTTTGCAAACATATGCAATGCATAAGACAGTAAGTAGAGTTCCAAAAGACCAAAATAAATCATATATATATATATGTGTATATATATATATACACACATATATATATATGTATATTACACATATACACACACACACACACACACACACACATATGTGAAAATGTCCATAAATATAACTGTAAGAGATCAGGACTAATTTCAGAAATATTAGACTTCGGCTGTCTTCTTTCTGAGAGATGGGATTTCCTTATTGCATCTAGAGAAGTGGAAGCAATCATGTAATGTTTACACATTTGATTCACTTTTTTCTTTGTTTATGCTGCAGCTCTTAATATGACAAATGCCACAGAGAGAGGTATTTAAAACCCCAGTGTGTGCTGTGCTCTCGGTGATTGCAATTTTAATAAAATTTGCAGTGGTCCTGTACCAGGCATCGATTCTACTTTTTGATGCCACTAACAGGTTTGATTTGTTGTCATGAGTACCCTGTGTATTTAAAATCCAAACAAACAAAGAAAAAAAGAAGCACAAACCTTTGATATCCCTGGGGGTTATCAAGGGGAAAATTAAATCTGCATGATTAATAGGGTGCATGCTCTAAAAGAAGAGTTTGACCCATGCATTCTGATTTTTAGGGTGTATTATGTTGCATTCTCATCTAAGTAGTTCTCTAGTGCTTTTAAGAAACAGTGGTAAAGTGGTCCTTTGGTTGAAGAGTTGTTAGTAAAGGCCTCTAAGGAAAAAAAAGTTATATCATTATTTTAGGACTGAAAAGACAATAGTTCAAATTAAAGACGAGTTAGGCCCTCTTTAATGCAGGTTTAAAGAAAAATGTGTTTCAAAAATTTGTCTTAAATTGTTTTATATAATTGAAATGTTTAATATAATGTTCACATTATATTATTTGAAATGAGAAACTATCTGAAATATGCATATTCTAATTAGGCAAGCTTTTTATTTCCACTTTTTAGGTATTAAAATAAGATGCACAAGTGTAAACATTCACCTAAGAGAAAGTGTTCTTTGTCTTTTTATGCATTAACTCATCCAACAAAGATTCATGGAGTGATTTTGCAGGAAGTGTGCAAGACAAAGAAGGCAAGGCCTTCGCCAGGCTTCATTTCAAAATGTAACTAACTATTTCAATCATGCAAAGATATCCCAGAAAGCTATTAGAACTCTATGGCAAAATGGAATTTGAGTAATATTACATTCAGTTAGTTACTTCAGAAATGACTTTCAAATTTTAATTAGTATATTCATTTCCATGAATACAAGTTTTCGTGAATATATAAGGCATAATTTTTGGAGGAAGTATAATGTACTGGATAACGTGGACTCTAAACTCTTGAGAACATTACCTGGGTTCCAGAGTCTAGAGCAGGGGTGGGCAAACTTTTTGACTTGAGGGCCACAATGGGTTCTTAAACTGGACCGGAGGGCTGGAACAAAAGCATGGATGGAGTGTTTGTGTGAACTAATATAAATTCAAAGTAAACATCATTACATAAAAGGGTACGGTCTTTTTTTTTTTTTAGTTTTATTCATTTCAAACGGGCCGGATCCGGCCCGCGGGCCGTAGTTTGCCCACGGCTGCTCTAGAGTAAACTGTCTAAGTTCAAATCCTGGCTCCACTACTTACAACCTGTGTAACTTCAGGTAGTTTACTCAGTCTCTGTGCCTCAGTTTCCCCACATGTAAAAACGAGGTTAATAATACTCTAACTCAAAGTTATGGAAGGATAACTTATATAATTAAAGCTCTCATAAGAATTCTTGGCAGAGAATTATGATTCAAATAATAGTTATTCTCAATGTTAGTTCTACTGCTAATATAACTCCTGTGCAACAAAAGGAATATTTAAACACTTGTGAAGACAATTACAGTTCTTTAGTCTGTGTGTCATCTTTATCTTTGAGACAGAAGTATTATAAAGTTCAATGGCAAAGACAAAAATTTCATTTAAAGTAGAGTTAAGTCCAGCTGGAGTGGCTCCGTAGTTGAGCATTGACCTATGAGCCAGGAGGTCATGGTTTGATTCCCAGTCAGGGCACATGCCCGGGTTGTGAGCTCCATCCCCAGTGGGGAATGTGCAGGAGGCAGCCAATCAATGATTCTCTTTCATCATTGATGCTTTCCTCTCTCTCCCTCTCCCATCCTCTCTGAAATCAATAAAAATGTACTAAAAAACATTAAGTAGAGCTGGCATTTATTAACCTTGGTCCTGTCAGAATAGCAGTAGACTTCAAATCCAGAATGGACCCTAGACGTCACATAACTCAATCCTTTACTTTGCAGATAAGGAGACTTAAGACCAGAAATATCATTACTTTGCTCAAGTTACAAGGGGCTTGGATGTCCTGATTCCAATGCCAAGATATCTTCCATTAACCCATCCCCAGCTTTCCTTTCACCCTGTTTATGCTGTGTAGATCAGTATTCTGGAGCGTTCGCATGCTTTAGCATCAGATAAACCTGGGTGTTAATCCTGTTTCTGCCACTCACTAGTTATGCGAGTTGGATAATTTACTTAACCTCTGCAAGCCTATTTCCTCATTTGTAAAATGGAGGCATATCACTTAGAGCATAGAGTTCTTAAACTATCCAGTGCCTACCTGGTAGCTCTTTGATACACATTGGCTGTTGTCAGTACTGTCGTCTGTTGTGTACATTAAGAGCTGGAGGACTTCTACCCAGAGAATTTTGCTGGTTAGGCTTCTCCAATTTCATAAGTAGAATGTCAACATTACCAACTGCATCTCTTGCTTCCAAAGAACATAAATCTACCCTCAAGCAGCAATGCTTTGTACCTGCATACTCGGTACTTGTTAGAGATTATAACTTTGCTTTGGCCCCACTGTGACAAGTGATCTAAGAAGCTGTGTGAAGATATGCCTTTGCTGGAAAACTGCAAAGGGGCTGTTTAGAGCTAACTTGTCCAATAAACAAACAAACAAACAAACAAAGAGTATAACAAAAACGTGAAGGTGACCTTAGTGCACATCCTGAATTACATCATGTTACTCACCACATAAATAGCCATTTGGCAAAAATCTTGTTGAAAATATTGTTCATTCCATCACTCATTGCTCTGAAGTAAATCTCTAGTGAGAATTTGCTTTTAAAAATTTAGTGCCTTGGGGCAGGGGGGAGTGGGGAAATGGTCTCTTTTGAGAAACTGGCATTTTACTTTACTTCCTGTAATGAGAACTGTTTTTCTTTTGCATCATTTTTTGCCTTAGCTGGCATGTATCTCAGAATCCAATTTGAAGCTTAGTCATAGTATGTTACAGTAAACCAACCAGAAGTCTCCTTTTCCCTGATGCTCATGTGTTAATTTCTTTTTGGTATACTCACTTCAAAACTTCAAAGGAAAGAGGTAGAATTAACAAAGTTGATGGATTAATGGAACTTTTCCTTCAAGGTAGTAGTTCTGAAACATCAGTGCAGATCTTTCTAGAAGGCATAGCTCCAGGATGCATTCCCCAGAGCTTCGGATCTGATAGGTCTATGTTAAATCCTTTTAACAATTTCCTAAGATCCTTATGCAGGTAGCCTATGAACCACATTTTGAGAAGCACTAATTTAAGGATTTCTACTTGGAATGTCTTTATTCAGTTGGAGCTTAAAAATTTAAGGAGAAAATTAGCTTATCTATAATTAGTAAGATAAATGTTAGGATAGCTTCAAATTTATTCATTTGTTGAGTACCTACTATATTCCAAGTAATGAGTTAATTCCTAAGGATATAGAGGTAAGTAATGGGTTATTTAGTAAGGAAGATAGACATGCAAGAAAGTAATTACAATAATTAAAGTTTAATCTATTTGCAATGATATAAGTTTGTATAGGATACCCACACAGGACAAGGGAGATAGTGAGAGGTCAGGGGAAGCTTCAGAGATGTGAGGTGCAACGGGGCTTTGATTGATGAATTGCAACCAGCTCACGGTACAGATCCTATCACAATGAGCAGGGAAAATGCAGGTTTATCATGCAAGCACAGGCTAACACTGACTCATAACCAGGGAGTAAAAGGACTACAGAGTTTGGGAGAGGATCTATAGTGGTGTTATAAAAACCAGAGTGAGTTGCAATTTGACTCACAGACTGACACTGAGATTATACTCTACTAGAGGCCCGATATACGAAAATTCGTGCAAGAGTAAGCCTTCCTTCTCCCGACTGCCTGCACTGGCTTCCCTCTGGCACCTGGGACCCAGGCTGCTTCCCTCCTCCAGCCGCTCGCAGGCACCTGGAACCCACACTGGCTTCTCTCCAGACCCGGTTTCGTCAGGAAGGACGTCCAAAATTAGGTCCGGAAGATGTCGGGACTAATTAGCATATTATCCTTTTATTATTATAGATGGTATCCTCTTTTGGATATAGTTTTTAAATGGGTATATAACTACTATCTCGTCAGCATGGGAGCCTTCAGTTTAGGCATCTAGAATCCCATATCAAAGGTCACAGAAATGTTCCCAATTCAAGACACTTTGATAACCAGGATGCTATGGTGTCACTTAAGATTAAGGTTATGGCCCCTGCTTTTTCCCCCAGCTGAAATTTCTGGTTAGCTATAGTAATAATAATTTTATATATATATATATATATATATATATATATATATATATATATATGTTTTTAATAAATGTAAGCTTCTTTGACTGCTGTCACAACTCAAGTATCTTCCATTTCATGAGAGCAAGAACAAAATGTTATTTGAAAATAAACTATGGCCCTGGCCGGTTTGGCTCAGTGGATAGAGCGTCAGCCTGGGGACTGAAGGGTCCTGGGTTTGATTCCAGTCAGGGGCATGTACCTTGGTTGCGGGCACATCCCCAGTGGGGGGTGTGCGGGAGGCAGCTGATCAATGTTTCTCTCTCATCGATGTTTCTTACTCTCTATCCCTCTCCCTTCCTCTCTGTAAAAACTCAATAAAATATATATTTAAAAAAAAGAAAATAAACTATGATTTTTTTGTTTGTTTTTTGTTTGTCAATCCTCACCTGGGGACACTTTGTCCATTGGTTTTTAGAAAGAGTGAAAGGGAAGGAAGGAGGGGAAGAGAGAGAGACAGAGAGGAAAAAAACAACATTGATGTAAGAGAGACACATCGATTGGTTTCCTCCCACAAACACCCCAGCCAGGGTCAGGGATAGAACCTGCAACCCAGGTATATGTATGGGATTTGAACCCAAGACCCATAGGTGTGCAGGAAGCTGCTCTAACCACTCAGAAACACCAGCCAGGGCAGAAAATAAACTATGATTTTGATAAATGTACCACGATTATATAAGATGTTAATATCTGAGGGCGTTGAATGAAGGATACCTAGAAACTCTCTATTGTATCTTTGCTACTCTTCTGTAAATCTAAAGTTATTTCTAAATAAAAACTTTTCAAAAGGGTAAAATAAGAAAGGTTTCTGTCCTGGTAATTACACAAGTTAGCTTCTCCCATTAAAACCAGAAAAAAAAATAAATGATTCTTTAAAAAAAAAAAAAAATAGCGAATCGGAACTGAAGTCCAACTTTTTATCAACTTATGGTTAAACCACTAATATATTTTCAGAATTATTTTAACAAAAATACTCTTAATAGTTGGCCTATCTACATCTGAAACTGAAGTAAAAAATAACCCACAAAAAAACACAAGTTAACTTCATGTGGCTCGTCTCTGAATTAGCTGGTAAACACTTGGTGCCTGTAGTCATTATTCATCACCGTATTTACAAGCTCGGAAAATGTTATTATGTCAAAGGCCACAGAGATGTTTCCAACCCAAGCCACTTTAGAGGATCGTGATGTCACAGAGACAGGCAAGCCTTCCTTTGAGAAGCGAGTCTCTGTCTGTGCGGGTGCTGTGTATGTTTTCTAAGGGCCTTGCACTGGGACTCCTTCAGAGATGGAGCCACGTGAATAAACCTCCCCAAGCATAGCTCTGCTTCAAAGGGAACAGAAATGTAAACAGCGGGGCACACCAAGATTGGCTTTGTTTGCTTTAGCATCCGAGAAGTCAGGAAAAAAAGACCAGGTATTGACTTAGGTTTATTGTTATGTATATCAGATTTTCTTTTAATGATCAGAAAACAAAACAAGATTCAGTTCAGAAACCATGTACCACAGAGCCTCAATGTGATCACTTTTCAACCACCCCAGGGTCGATTTTTTTTTTTTTTAGGTAAAAAAAAAATAAAAACAATTCAAATGACCCTTTTTGTTCTTTGTGATGCTTGTCTTCTAAGAGGAATCTCCAATGTTTAAAAGAGGATGCTAGATGAGACAAATGTAGCCTTTTATGAACTGATTCAAATAATACAGTATTAATTAGCATCATGTTTTAATAATAGGGCCTGAGGAATGGATTTCTCTTTCTACAGCACATAGATTTGGTATAGAGGGAACAAGAAAACAATGAGGAATTCTGTGGTCTCATGCTCTGGTGGTCTTGTATTCAGTGCCTGCAGTGGTGCCTTTAAGAGGCTTAGAAAAAGAGAATTACTCTGACATTTCAAAGGTATGTTATCCTAGATGCTTAAGAACAGTGAACAGGCTCACTTACGGTGAAGACTGACCTTTGCTAAGGAAGCTACAGGCTTGGGACGTGACTCCCCACCATGGCCTGCCCAGTTGGGAATTTCTGTTCAGACCATCCTACATGGTCACTCCCAGTCACTGAGCTTGTCAGGGCTGCCATGTGAACCCCCCTGAGCATGTCAGGTTTATTACAGAAGTTTTTTTGCTCACAGAAATTTTAAGTAGTCTTTACCCTTGCTACTAAAAAAATAAATAAGAACATGCCACTGATTTGGTTGGTGGAGGCAGGAAAAGTGCAGACAGAGAAAACTATAAATGGGAAATTATGAGTTCACTTACATTTAAGAGGATTGGGTGTTAAGTGTAGAAATGAGGCCTTCTCACTATGATGCTACATACAATGCTAAAAAATTTTGGCTTGGCACCTGCCACAAATCGGTCTCAGATTCCCTGTCTGGAAAATGGGCTGAGTAACATCCAGTATGTACGATCAGAAGGATATGGTCAGGGTTAAGTGAGATAATATATAATGTGAACAAATATCCATAAACTGTGAAGAACTATGCAATGTATTTGCAGCATTAAAAGTAGTTAACAATAGCATTGCTATTTTATAATTATAAACATATGTTGCAGTTAGCTTATCACTAATTTGAAGAAAGGTCTAAATTGACATGAATAAACCTTCCCAGAAAGAAAAAACAGTTTCGTGTGAAATCTGTATCTGAAACTGTTATATTAAACCTTTTAGAACAATTCATGTTTCTTTTCTATAATTTTTTAATGTAATAAATTCTCAGTTCTATATACCCAAGTTAGACATTTTTTACATTTTCTTTGTAGCTTGCTTCACCCGCAGTTTCCTAGCAGATAGAGAATTCATCCTCTGTGCTCTCAGCAGCCTCTGAGAGCTGAAACAGAGGGAATCTCTGCTGGTGACAGGCCCTGTTTTGCAGAAACCCCTAATCCTCTGTTTACCACAACATGAGTCTATTGCCATAGAAATGATAGCTGAGATCCCAGCTTCAACATCACTGACTTCACAGCAGGGCCTTGTAAGAGGAGAAGCCACGCTAACAGGAAGAAAAGCATTTTGTAAGAGCACAGTAGGGAGTCTGTTACCTTGAAAGAGAAGGTAATTGTCAACATAAATAAAAATGCATGAGTGAGCTATGTTGTTGGTATGCTGTGGTTTACTTCCTGTGTAGTACTGCCTGGCTAACAGCAATCATTTGAAATTTTACATCATGTAGTAGTTAGCTTTGAAAAGGTCAGCCTTTCCCTGGATTGCATTTGTATTTTTATTGAAATAAGAAACAAGCAGATTCTAATTGCTCTTGTTGCACAACTGATATTCCCTTTTCATGATGTGTTGTTTTGCTTTTTTTGTCTTATTTTTATTAATAGAAGAAACTGAACCTGAGCAAGATAATAAAGGTATTTTTTTTTATTTCTGTACTGCTTCTTTTAAAATGTATGGTTCCATTCAATTGTTTATTTCTGCTGACCTCATAAACAACTCTAAGTGCCTTATTTTGTAAGGAAATAACCAATGGTGTATGAGGAATATTAAGTCAGCATTTAACAGAGTGTTATTAGATAGGCTAATCTATTATATAATGTACTTAGTGACTATTTTATTAAGAAAAGATGGAGTCAACAGAAATTTTAAACTTGGTATTCCAAACTCTGAAAATGCAGACAAAGCGAAATGAGATAAATCAGCAGGAGACTATCAGTCTCACACAGGCTGGAGTGAAAAGTAACCTTTTGACTGGGGAGGGGGAGGGTGTTAAAATTTTTGAAGAAATGTAGAAGTGTCAAGGTGCCCGCTGGAGTTTTTACTGTTATTATCATAAGAAGACAAGTATTATGCCATTGCTCCAAACCAATTAAACAAATTAATTTTCAATTTTATATAGTGCAAAATAGCTGAAAATCAAGTTTGTTTAGGAAAAAAAAAAAAACACCTATCCTAGAACAAGTTTTCCTATGACCAACATTAGGCTGGAATTATTTGAAACGGCACCTCCGTATCATAGTAACTCAAATATGGTATTTGAGCTGTGTCCCTATTTCTAAACATCAGGATGCTTACACCTAAATTTAGATAAAATCATTTCACCTGCTCCTGTGTAATTTTTTTCAGTTTAGTTTTATTTGTGTTTGCTTGCAATTTACTCCTATCAGCCACTTTTAATTTAAATCAAGTAACCTTAAAAACTTCTATAAGGGAAACTAGAAAATTATAAAGAACAAGAGGAAATAAAATCCATGAGAGCTCATTGTGTCCTCTGAAATAATTGCTCAAACAGCATTTATATGGGACCGCATTCCAATGGTCTTATTCCCTTACCAGAAAAAGTGAGGTAATTCATCTCAAGCCAAACCACTCATTAATTTCAGACTTCATTTGGATCCCCTGCCCATTGGGCTTTCCACCACACCACAGTGCAGTTTCAAAGTGAATAATGGCTGAATCTCCTGATTACAAGTTCAGATTGTAACAGTGATAATAATAAAACTCATGTATTCGAAAGTGCTTTGAAAAATGGAGAGACAGAGAAGGAAAGCGAGAGGAAAATGATACAGTTCTATTATAAAGGACTTTAATCACTGGCTACTTAAGCCCAATTTTGAATATGAGATTCTCAACCTGCAGTCAGCACCATAAACTTAGCCAGGAGAAATTAAAGGCCCAAACTCATGACTATATATCATGAGAGAAAATGCAGAGATAAATATTGCCCATGTTTACTTCCCATATTGCCGATGAACAATAGGAAAGGAAGTGGGCAAGAGCTCACAGTGAATTGAAGAATGATGGACAACTCTATTGAAAGAAGACTGGATCATTTCTTTCTTTAAAAATCCATATCAAAACAGTTGTAGACATGTTCCAAATTACTAAGTCTTGTCATACCACTTCTATTAAGCAGCTTCTATATGTAACAAAACATTTTTATATTGTCTTTCATGCAAATAAAATACGAGTAGGAATAGTCAATGGATATTTTACTTGATATGAAACATATCACATTACTTTGAAAATAAATGACCTCAAATGTAATTTCAATTTGTGGCTACCACTAAAATAATGGGAGTTTATTATTGAACTATGTCTATGTTTATTATTACAGGTGTAATATTATCCAAGGAAGTTAGGCTGGCATTTATTTTTAATTGCAACTGGCTTTACTCTTTCCAGTGTTTGATAAATGTGGCGCAATTCCTTTTACCCAACTTTCACCTTTTGTGCTTAGGACAGATGGGTAATAAAAATATCGGTGTTATTGCTGATAAAACTGGATTGAAAAATAAAGCTTTCTATTCCTCCACCCAAGAATTGGACTAACATAACTTCTGTTTCTTCATCTTCCTCATCTCTGCTCCACTCTCCCACCCTTCACCCTAAGTTGTAGGATGGAGAACCCCTGACCTGGGGAACTCACCCGCTGCATACCTTCTTGTCTGCAGGGCAGCTGGGAGAACAATGGCCCAGAGAGGGCTGAGATACTCATAGAATGCACAATCCCTTTCCCCATTCTCACCAATCAGAGGAGTAACTCATTCATTCAGTCATTCATTCAACAAATATTTATGAGTGCCTACCATATACCATGCAGGATTCTGGATCATCTATCTATCTACCTATCTATCTATCTATCTATCTATCTATCTATCTATCTATCTATCTATCATATGTCTATCAATCAGCCTGTATAAATAAACAAAGCATGCTCTGCCCTTTGTGATGCCTACATTCCAGGGAAAGAGACAGCCAAAAAACAAACAAATCAACAGTTATGATGATAAATGCTATGACAAAACATAAACAAGGGTAAGGCAAATGATCCAGAAAGCATTATGATAAGGAGACATTTGAGTTGAAACCCAACAGACATTTGTAACCTTCTTTGAGGGAGGGAAACTGGTAGGAAGGATGGAAACTATCTTTCAATCCTGAAAAAAGGGAGCAAGTTTCTATTTTATCTTTGGCAAGAATGTGGGAGTGCAGAAGCAACCACCTTCCCTTTAATTCCTGATTTTTTTTTCTCTTAACTCATTTGACTTAACAACCAAGTTCATGGTTCGCCAAGGGTATATCTACCCCCTTGGACAAGGAGACTCGCAGGTTGTCAGCACAGTCTCATATTCATGAAGCCGCATGCAATGCCAGTAGTGATCCTTTGTGATCTTCTTGTGTCCCACTGGACCTTCCAGAAGATTCTGATATGAGACAGAGCAGTATATTAATTAAGTTAACTCGAAGGCCACATTGAACTCCAGAATGATAATTGACTATTTTATTTACAATCTCACACTATGCTTAACTGTGTTGTATAATATGGATCATCAGAGGTTTTGCAATGAACCCCAATGATATTCCAAATAATGTAATACCAATCAAAAGAGAAAAAAGGAGCTGTAAATTACAACAAAATAAACACTCCCTTATTACTAAATTTCCAAGAAGAATTTAAAGTCCTCAAGTGAAAACTCTTGCCTTTATAAATTAAATAGAAAGTAATCTACATTTCATCCTGTACTAATTTCTTATCCTTCTCATTTTCAGTTCACAGGCTCTGATTCAGGTTCAAGGGGACAGTCAGTGGTATTTGCTGCTGCTGTCACACTTTTACAGCACCTATGGGATTGAAGTAATCCCATTACAAGCTAGTCAAAAAGCCTTCTTTTTACAGATTCTCAGAGGCAATGGGACCCACAAAATGATCATTTCAGTAGTCTCGCACTCAAAAAATGTATGACACACAAGGATAGCCCCAACACCTATAAGAGTTACTTCAGCCAAATGATGAATGTGGACTCAAGTATGTTATATAGTCTAGGTCTCCATTATTGTTGCCAGAAAACATTAGAAAAAACAAGATTACCTGGGTTCACCCTTGCTAGGATGCCAGCCAGCCTATGGTAGTTGTCAAGGGCTCACAACTTGAGCTAAATTGGGAGAAATCTCCTATTAGGTGCTCAGATGAGGTATCATGTTAGTCACTCTGGAGGAAATATACCCTGCCTCCTGGCTGGCTTGTGTTCTTGAGAAACTTAGAATGTCCAAGGAGTACAGCCTCTGTCATATAGTCCTGATTGATACTTCTTTGGACCCATGCAGCATAATTACAACCTTTTATTTACCATTTCACCTTTGAGCCTTGTTCTGAAACTTCAATGGAGGTGCCACCTTCACTCCCTCTTTTTTTAATGTGTTTTATTGATTTCAGAGATAGGAAGGGAGAGGGAGAGAGGGGCAGAAGCATCAATGATGAGAAAGAATCATTGATTGGCTGCCTCCTGCATTCTGTAAAGACCACTCCAGCTTGACCACTTCATATGGAAGAGGCACTCACCACTTCCTGTTTTCCTAACAGTTTTTGCCAGAATCCTGCGGGCTCCTGAATCCCACAATGTCACCTTTGGCTCCTTTGTGACCCTGCGTTGTACGGCAACAGGCATCCCTGTCCCCACCATCACCTGGATTGAGAACGGAAATGCTGTGAGTGCCATCTGTGCGGGGACTTGTCTGGGGAAGTCTCACTGGTGGTGAATTTCAGTATATACCACATATAGGGGTTGGCAAAAGTAGGTTTCCAGTTGAGTACCTGAAACATGGTTTATCCTTGTATTATTATTTATTAATTATCATATTATTTTCAATACACAAAAGTGTAGAGCTACTTTTATCCGTCCCTGTATTTGTAGTTACCCTGATATCTGTCATTGGTCTCACCTGCACGTCTCTTTTCAAAGCCTTCTAGTATTTTCATGCTAGAAGTCACTGCCATAGAAATTGAACATCATGGGTTTACTTCTTTCCTTGTATCATGGGGTATAGTAGATAATCAAATTCTTTCTGTATGCCTTTGTGTAAAAGGGAAGTGTTAGCAATTCCTTCCCACACAAGTAAAATAATTTTCACAAAACTCATCATTTAAGCCTGGCTGGTGTGGCTCGGATGGTTGAGCATCAACCTAGAGACCTGGAGGTCGCAGTTCAATTCCTGGTCAAGGCACATGCCCGGGTTGTGGGCTCCATCCCCAGTAGGGGGCGTGCAGGAAGCAGTCGATCAATGATTCCCTCACATCTTTGATGTTTCAATCTATTTCTCCCTCTCCCTTCCTCTCTGAAATCAATAAAAATATATTTTTAAAAATTCATCACTTAGAATCAGTTCACTGCTAGAATCTACTCATTCATTATTCCCCCATTTCCTAACTGCTATTTATGACTTGAACACATTCGGGGTAGGAAGAAGAGAGGAGCAGTCCTGAGAGTGGAAACTGTCTACTTTAAAGTTTGCTTTACAACTCTGTGCCTGACAAGTGTTTACTGACTCTTCAGAAATCAGGGAATATTCAAGATGACGCCAGTGATGCATTTTCCTTAGGATCACTATCTCCTTCTTATCCCCCAATCTGTTAATTGATGGGGAGTCTCTCTGAAGAATTGAAAATAACTCCAACTCTGATCTTCTACAAACCTTTGCATGTACAAACTTGTGGGTCCAGACCATTGAACAGAGCTACTACCTCTTTGCTCCCTCCATTGAAGCTGCTAGGTAGCCTGGCTCTGCCTCTTAGATTTTACAGATGGGAATTAGACACCTGTCCGCTGTGTCAAGAAACTGCAGGTGTGTCAGGGTCCCCAAGATCACCTTCAAGTTTGATGATTCACTAAAAAGACAGAACCCAGAGAAGCTGTTATACTTATGGTTCTAGTTTATTACAATGAAAGGAATCAGGCTAAAATCAGTAAATTAATTAGTTGTCCTCTCCCAGTGGAGTAGCATGGAGAGTGCTTAATGGTCCCAGCAATGGTGTATGACATCATGTACAAATTATCATACTAGGGAAGCTCACTCAAACCTTGGTGTCCAGAGTTTCTACTGAGGCTTAGTTACGGATGCATGGAGGGCTCACAGGACTGATTTTAACTATCTCCAGCCCCTCCAAAGGTCGAACTGATAGAGCATGACCTAAGGTCCTTGGTGAACGATTTACATTGTTAACATGAACTATCTGGCTTGGCCCCAGGTCTCAGGTACACAAAAACATGCTTATCAGACAAGATATTCCAAGGGATAAGGTTATCTCTCAGGAGCCAGTCAAAGGCCAGTTTTTTTCTTTCTATGGTGCAGGGTTTGAGCATATCAAGCCCATTGATTAACCCTTTACTACACAGCAGGGGACATATATCAACTCTCTAGGTGGTCCTATTGAGGACCCTCTTTCATGCCTCAAGGAGATGGAGTGAGGATGGCTCTCAATATAGCTCAACAACTCAAACCTTAATCGTTCATCTAAGGGGTTCTCAGCTATTTTCATGTTCATGTTTTGAGGCAGTCTCAGTCCAACTTTTTAGTATTTTGGCCACCATGTCCATATATTATCATATTACAATAAACTAATGATAGCATTTTAAAGCCAAAGGAATGTTCCAAATGGGGGGGGGGGGCAGAGAAAAAAAGGAGAGGAAGAAAAGAGAAGTAGGCCACTAGATATGGAAAAAAAGAAGAAGAAGAGAAGGGGAGAGATGTGTGTGGAAACAGTCTGTCAGTGAATGAAATTTGGGTGGATGTTGTAAATCAGGAAGAACATACCACATTCTAAGGCCTCCCCATCTAATGAAGAATGTCATTGTGCCTATAGTACCCTCTAAAGGAGGGGTCCTCAAACTACGGCCCGCGGGCCATATGCAAATACAAATATTGTATTTGTTCCCGTTTTGTTTTTTTACTTCAAAATATGTGCAGTGTGCATAGGAATTTGTTCATAGTTTGTTTTTTTTTAAACTATAGTCCGGCCCTCCAACGGTCTGAGGGACAGTGAACTGGCCCCCTGTTTAAAAAGTTTGAGGACCCCTGCTCTAAAGCTTTTAATTCATTTATTATATTTATTTTCACTATTGTTTCTGCTGAAGGGCTTTTTGTTCTTTTCTGATACTTGAAAAAACCCACCTTTCTCATAATTTGTTATTAAAATCAGTTCATCTTATCGAATTGTCTACCAAACACTTACCTCTTCACAATAAATTAAGTTAATAAATGGATGTCATTTTATAAGCTTGTAACTTGAAATATGCTGGAATAAGAATGAGGTGGGGAGTTAGAAGACCTAAGTTGTAAATGCTCCTCTTCAGTTAATGAAATTTTAGGGGAGTCCGTTTACCTCTCAGAAATTGATTTGCCCATGTCTACAATGACAGAGATGTCAAGTGTCTGGAGAAGGTGATCTCCAATATGACATCAGAGCTAACAGTCTCTAATTTTGCTAAATTATAATAAAGTAACCAATAGTCCTGTTCTTCTTTAGCTTTCCAATTAAATCTTGTGTCATTTAAAATTTGAATCTTACTTGGCAATATGTTTTGTGGCTTTTCCATGGAAGCTGTTATAGTTGTCTTAAGTGTCTCAAGTCACTAATGATAGGTGGAAGAAAACTGGGGGGCTGACAACATGACTTGACTAATTTGTCTAACTCCCTGGAAACAATAATAAAGAAAAGCTACATGCTTTAAAAATAATCCAGTGTTTTCAAAAGGCTCTATTAGTTTAGAACTGGGCAATGTATGATTCTATCTTTTGGAGTTCAGAGTAATAAAAACGTTGGGTGGTTTCAGTTAGTTTTGGTCTTATTGAGACCCCAATTTAACCCTTTAAGATGTGATTCACAAAAAGCAGAAGGCAAAATAGACCCATTACCCCAGATTCTAAAACAGAAATAAAACAAACTAATAGTGACTCTCTCCCAGGAAGAAAGCAAAATACATCTGTAGTTCTCAGGGTCAGAGAGAAGTGATGCTCTTACAGCCAAGCTTTGTTCTTGGTGATACGTTCCAAATCCAAATGGAAATCGAGATGACTGCCTGTACTGATGCAAATCACAGGAAACGGAGACAATTTCAGACATTAAATGTGGTACAAGTAGCAAACCAGAAAGTCTGTTAAGGAGAACAGGAAAGAGCTCACAGCCCTGTTAGCATTTTGGGTTTACTGAATGAAGATGAATGCAGACCTGGGAGCTATTCAGCACGGGATAAAGAAAACATAGTTTGAACTGTGGCTCTTTCCTAACTACAAGTCAATGAACTAACGTCGCTAACACACTACTACACACTACTAAGTACAACGGGTCCTCTAAAAGATGTGGATGCTCCTTTTCTCCCCCGCAGTGAACACACCAATAAACTAACACTCCGAACAGTTAGAGCCAAAGAACAAGAAAAAGGTAGCAACATGCCTCAAAGTGTTCATGAATTATTTTGCTTTCTTCCTGTGGATACGGCACTTATTTTTCATGAAAATTTGTAGTCTTAGATGAACTGCAGAGTGAGCTGTAATATTCCTCTAGTTTTACATTAGAAATAATAGTTTGATGTGGAGTTGAGCTTTTCTAAAAGAAAATACCCTTGTATTGTGATAACCAGATTTATTTCAAGTTATACCTATAGTAATATCTATTATTTTGGCATTCAATAAAAAATGTAGAAAAATTGCATGCTGTCTTGCTTTGTTCAATAAATATAGTTCCTAAAATATTTTAAAAGTTGAACCATTTTAATTTATTAGAAGAATGTTATCAAACAAATAGCCAAATCATCTGCATTGAATTGTGTTTGTAAATTTTCTTAAAGAAAGGCTCACCTATATATTACACATATTTTTAAGAGGTAGAATGTTAGGTTCAGTGTACATAAGCTTTGAAGTCATCTTATTCTATTAGCTGTTTAAATAAAAATAACTACATATATCAATTTTTTGTGGAATATTTTAGCAGCCAGATTGAAAGAGGCCAATGATTATGGCTATGCTGATCAGAAACAATATGAACATTTTCTCAGACTATTATTCCTTTTTCTGTGATGTGTAGATAGGGATTATTACAAGTCCCTGAACCTGTATCCCCTGGATCACACAGAACAGCTCAGTGAGTTAATCCCAGCTAGCTAGAACTATTTGCAGGACAAGGCCAGTGAGGCCAGAATACTTTACAGAGGTCTTCCTATGCTAAATTCAAAGCATGATGAAGTTAAGAGATTATCCAGCACTGTGGATGGATTATCTCAAAACAACATTATTAACATATTAATGACATATTTAAAATATCCCACAGGTCTTCTAACCACCTTGCCACCTTCCAAACGGATGAGGAACATCCAGCCTGTGGGCCATATAAGGCCTGCAAAATCATTTTGTTTGGCCTTGCTAAGGCATTAGGGGCAAGTTAATGAAATGTTTGAACAAATACAGCAGGCTAATTTTTAAGTTGATAATTTTGATTAGCCCCAAAATGATGTTGTAAATATCCAAATGGACCTTGGCAGAAAAAAGGTTCCCCACCCCTGTTCTAAAAGGTTTCTCAGGTGTGAACCTCTATGCCTTATTAATAAAGCTTCCTGTTTGCCTTCTTTTGAGGTCACTATCTCAGAAAGCAAACACCACACACTGAGTAGAAAGCTATTTATCCAGCTCCTTCAGGTTGGCGTGCCTGGGTGACTTGGAGAAAATAACGTATTTACTGTAAACACCAGATACAGTCACCTCAACGAAGGTCTTGGTTTTGCCCAGGCAAATCTTGGTCAACACTCACAGTAAAAATCTGAACTCATCCCTTTGATCTTTTAAACCTGAAGGGCAGAAAGATCAAAATGGAGGGCAGAGGGTTGTTTATATTTTTATGTCATCAAAAATACTAAACTGTTGGTCAGGATGATCCATGAAGAAAGAAAAACAAATTCAAACTCTGACTAACAAGGCCCGCTGTGCATGAGTCACAAACTGGATCAGCCAGGCCTCTGTAAACAGGAGGAAAAGCATTTAGGAGCTACATCATGATCAAGCAAGGAACCTCATAACTCCGTTTATTCGCTGAACTATTTCAATACCTGGATGAAATCCAGAAGAGAGGTCAGGCAGTTTAAAAATCACTTATTTTCCCTACCAAGAATGTTTTCAGTGACCTTGAGGAGATGTTAGAAATGACTTTCTTAGGTGTGAACATGAAAATAGTTGGAATTTAGGCAGCACGGGGGGCACGGGCGGGTTACTCGTTTCAGAGTTGTTTTCAAGGCATTGTACTTCTTGAAAGAAAAGACTAGTTTTGCAGAGGAAGGTAACTTTCTACAGATTTCACTTCTACAAACTATAAAGGGATTATATTTACAGACAAGACATCCTTGTAGCATACCCCATGGTGATTGAGCACAGAGGTCTTCAGCTTTTCTCTCATTGTTGCTTTGTATTAAAATATAGGGAGTCTACCCCCCACTTTTATAATTAAAAACAAAAACAAAAATTTAGGGAGAGACCAAAAATGTATTTCAAGTTGTTCAGTCCTTTTGATCTAAGTTGGACACTCAAATTCATAAGAAGTTACACTTCTGATAAATAAAACAATGAATTTTATTTGAATTCCCAACTGAGTATATGTCTCTTAAAGATATTTTTCTCTCTACCTTATTAATTTCTCATAGAGTCCAGTCTGCTTATCTGGGGAAAATGCCACAATACTTGATCTGACCTGGGAAGTTTCCCCAGTTAAGGTAAATTGATGTTCACATAAATAGTTTTTATCATAAGGATGGACTCTAATAATGCAAGCAGAGAATAAAAAGACAAAGAAATTAACAAGGCAAACTTCACTGCCTAATTGCTACACAGCAGCGGTTCTCAACCTGTGGGTCGCGACCCTTTGGGGGTCGAACGACGTTTTCATAGGGGTCACCTAAGACCATCGGAAAACACATATATAATTACAAATTGTTTTTGTAATTAACCACTATGCTTTAATTATGTTCAATTTGTAACAATGAAATTGGGGGTCACCACAACATGAGGAACTGTATTAAAAGGTCGCGGCATTAGGAAGGTTGAGAACCACTGCTATAGAGTGCTTGGTTCCAGGGCCAGCCAGCCACCCAGCTGCAGAAGGAAGAAAGTTGGTTTCAACCCAGGGCTTCCATCCCTCTTGCTATAGTCTACAATCCTCCCTCAGGCAAAACAGTAAAATAACTGGCTCCAAATTTCTCATTCCCAGCCTCATTCCCTTCTACTGGGCAGAGAAGCCCATGGAACCCATCTCCACCCTCCAAGATAATGTCAAGGCAAACCAAAGCTTTAGTTGTCATTCCATTCAAATTTCCCTCAAACTGGCATTCCCCCTCACATAAGCTGTGATAATTTAAAAAATAATTATTAAAAAGATAGCATAGAGCTGAAAAAAGGGGTAAATCACCATTTTTTAAAAAATGCCACCACCTTAACAATGATATTCAAGTCAGATATTTGTTTTGTTCGTGGTTGGTTGATCTGTGGAGATCATTGCTGTTACTGTTCTTGTTTTCTAATGACTCATTTGTTCTCACTTGGAGGACGAGGGAAGGCACTGTAAGAGTGAGGAAAAGCACAGGATTTGGGGTCAAACTAGGGTACAAATTCTAACTCTGCAACATAATAGGAAGCACTGGGCAGCGACAACCACAGAGTTGGAATGATGATGACTAATAAATAAGCACTTATGTATATTAAACTGTCAATTATGTGCTAATACTGCATTGATAGCCTGCCTCTTCCAAGACATTTGATTTTCTGATTTAAGTAGTATGGCATGATGTATGTCATGCCTCAGAAACAGAATCAGCTGCACAAACATTCTTCTGGGTAACCATCCAGCTATCCAGTGTATATGTGTGGGGAACTGAACAGGAGTTATGAAAATAAGACCAAAAGTATTCAACCTCTCATTCTTAATTATCTCTTATCTTCAAAAGACAGATAGTGCATCTTGGGGAATCCACACCATATATCTTTCCTTCATTACATTAGTTATCTATTGCTGTATCACAACCATCCAAAGCTCAGTGGCTTAAAACAATAACCATTCATAAATGCTCAGAAATCTGTGAGTCAACTGGGTAGTTTTGTTCATTTGGATCAGGACTGCTTGATTTTGGTCTAGAATGGCTTTATCATATATTAGGCGGTTATTGTTGGCTCCAAGCTGGAACAGTGGGAATAACTGGGCCATATGTACCTCATCCTCTAGCAGGCTAGCTCTGGCTTGTTCACAGAAGGTCACAGGTTCCAAGAGCAACAAGATAGCAAGCCACAATGTGCAAGAACTTTATAAATCTCTGTGTCTTTTTAAATCATGTCACAAGACCAATCTATACTCAAAGATGCTGCCTTTTGAGGGAAAAGCTACAAAGTCACATTAAAGGTCATGGACATAGAGAAAAGACTGTATTTTTGCGATCTACTACATGCCATTTGATCATAATCCTAATCCATTTTCTTTCACATCTACTGATATAGGAAGTTAGGAAATCTTTTACCTAATTCTATGTGGTTTTTTTCCCCTTACTCCATCAGGTTTCTTCTGGGTCCATTCAAGAAAGTGTGAAAGACCGAGTGATTGACTCAAGACTGCAGCTGTTTATCACCAAGCCTGGACTCTACACATGCATAGCTACTAATAAGCACGGAGAGAAATTCACTACTTCAAAGGCTGCAGCCACTGTCAGTATAGGAGGTAAGGTGGGTTTTCACAATTGCTTGCTCCAGGAGGGGAGAAGAGTTGGCTCCATTACACAAATATTTCATACTGGGAAAAATCTTTTTTTATATATTTTACTCCAGTCACCTTTGGCTTATTTTTATCCTCCATGTGGACACTCCATAATTGTTAATTTGATGATGTATTGCCTCAAAAACTTTATCCTCAGATATCTACTCAAGTGATGGGTAACAGCTTTCAAAAGCTTCCTTCCTCCCTTCCTCCCTCCCTTCCTCCCTTCCTTCCTTCTGTACTTCCTTCCTTCCTTTCTTCCTTCCTTCCTTCCTTCCTTCCTTCTTTTCCTCTTTTTGTTCCTTTCTTCCTCCCTTCTTCCTTTCCTTTTTTCCTTTCATTCTTTTTATCTTTCATTTTCCATCTTTTCTCTCCTTCCCCTTCTCTCTCTCTCTTTTCCCTTTCTCCTCTTTCTTTTGGGTTTATCAAACTTTCCAAGGCTCTCAAAGAGTAATTTGGCAGGTATATACCATGGTTGTGACAATTTCTTCATGGCTATTTCTTGAGGGCATTTTTGCTTAGGAGTATGTGACCTACCTTGTGGTCTTTCCCTTTCCTGTTTTATGCAAGTGATAGCAGGACTTACAGGTGTTCCAAGGAAAAGGGCTGATACATAGAGTTCTGGGATACTTGTGTTGGGTTTTGAAGGTTTATTTTTAAAATTTAAATGTCCCAAAGGCTTCTGAGAACATTTGTGGAATCCCTAGAGATGAAAATAATCCCTGTATCAGGAAATGCCCAGCATGTTATATTCATAGTATGTTCACTACACAAGGGTCAGCAGAAAGATGCTTGTGTGCACATGTAATTCAAGCATTGGTAGAACCTGTGCCAGTGCCAGGTTTCCAGAGCCTGGCATTTCTTACTACAGTGCCACTTCTTTGATCTGCCCTGATGGGGAAATTTCTAGTAATGTTTGTGATATTTAATATGAGGTGAACAGAGACCATGGAAAAATATATAGGGAGTATTGGTCAAAGCTGGACCTCTGAGGCATGCCCATGAAAGAGAAGATTCTAAAACTAAGGTCTTCTCCAGGAATATATGTGCCTATGTTGTCTTGAGACATCATATCAGTTATTCTAAAATTTCCACTGAAGGGAAAACACTTCTCCCAGAGAAAATGGGTGAGAATCCTAAAAGTAAATTCAATTCAACAAATAATAAAATGATTACTGGTTACACAGCACTTTGTTGTTTATAAAGTACTTTTCTATGCATTTATTACATACACTGATTCAGGCCGTTGTGTTAGGTAAAGGATATAAGCTTAATTAACAAATGGGATAATTAACAAGGAAGTCCCTGACTTTCAGGGACTTTAAATCTAGAAAGGAAGTCAATCAGCCATATATATATGATGGCAGAGACTATGTTCTATGGCAGATGCATAAACAGTGTACAGCAGAAAAAGAAAGGCTGTGCTTAAAGGAATGGAGCAGGAGTAATGAGTATGAGATGAAAAAGTGGAAGTGTATTCAGAAAACAGCAAGTCTAGAGCATGATGGGAACTGGGAGTGATGGGAAGAGTGGGAAAAAAGTTTGAAATGTGGGCTCCAGCTGGGTTATGAAGAGCCTAAGTAGGCTGAATGTACTCTTCAATCAATAGAAGTCATTTAATTATTTTAGAGGGGAAAAGCGTTATGGTCATATATATGTCCTTTGTCAAATTAATAAATGTTGGGCCCTAGATGGTTTAGCTCAGTGGAAGAGCATCAGCCTGCGGACTGAAGGGTCCAGGGTTCAATTCTGGACAAAGGCACATGCCCGACTGTGCCGGGGTCCAACCCCAGCGGGTCCAGGGGTCCCCAAAGGTGTGGACGGAGTCGGTGAAGAAGGAAGGACACGGAGACAGCGTTCAGTTGATCAGCAGCCTAGCCAGGATCTCTAGCCAGGATCTCCAGCCAAGTTCTGGTCTGGATCTCCAGAGAGGTTCTGCTTCAGATCTCCAGCCAGGTTCTGTCCAGGTTCTCCAGCCAGGTTCAGTCACCAGGTTCTAGTCAGGTTCTCTTGCCCATTTCTGTAGTCAGGTTCAGTCCAGGATCTTTTGCCATGTTCTCTCCAGCGAAGTTCTTCTGTCTCTAGTTCTGTGTAGGTTCTGTCTTCTTAGTTCTGTGTTCTAAGCTCTGTATTCTAAGTTCTGAGTCTTGCTGTCTTGTTACATCTGTATTTATACCAGTTGATTCAATCCTATCAATCTCTATTACAAAGGTTAGGGCGTTTCTTATCTCCATTCCAGGGAGTAAAGATTATGTAGCTTAAGCATGATTGTTCATAGTTAAAGTGATTAATTACCCGCCTGGCACTTAGTTGAGGGGTTTTATTCCCTCCCTAACTTCAGGGGAAAATCCCTACCTGGGGAAACAACCTTTCTCAGAGACCTTGGTTAAAACACATAGTGCCAAGAAGGTGAGCAAACATATTAAGAACAGTATGCCATATATGCCAGGTCCTTTGAAACAGCAAGGATGGACCGGCTCCCGGCACGACTGCAGGCTTGATCCCCAGTAGGGGGCATGCAGGAGACAGCCGATCAATGATTCTCTCTCATCATTGATGTTTCTCTTTCTCTCACCCTTCCTCTCTGAAAATAAAAAAATATTTTTAAAAAATAAATGTTGGTTGTCAGAAGTTTGGTAGGCATGGCAAGAAGTAAGGAGGCTATTCTAGGAGTCTAGAAAACTCATAAATGTCTGAACAACAACAGGAGCCATTGGTACAGAGAGAAGAGATGCATGGGACCGAACAGGATAGAAATGATAGGATTTATTTGCATACTAGAGGCCTGTTGCACGAAAAGATTTGTGCAATACACCTTCCCTCCCCCTGGCTGCCGGCACCAGTTTTCCTCCAGCACCTGGGACCCAGGCCTCACTCTGGCCGGAGCCGCCTTCTAGCCAGCCAGCCCCAGGTCCCCCGCGGGAGGGCTGGATGAGGGCAGGGCGGGTGCCCGATCGCTGCGGTCCTGCCTGCAAGCCACAGGTCGGGTCGCACACGGGACGCCCGCCGCCCTGGGTCGCAGATAGCAGGCCCGGATGGCAGCAGGGTAGGCAGGATGGTGCTGTCCCGCCATGCCTGCAGTATGCAAATTATCCACCATCTTTGTTGGTGGTTAATTTGCATATTGTGCTGATTAGCCAATGGGAGGCATAGCGAAGGTACGATCAATTACCATGTTTGTCTATTATTAGATTAGATGAAGTGTTTGAATATGACAATGTGGTAGAGGAATGAGCTAAGATGTGTCTGAGATTCTGAGGAAGGTATCTAGACAAATAATGATAGATCAAAACATAAGAACGTGAGAAGGGTCAGGAGATTAAATAATTAAAATTTTGATGCCTTTTAATTACTTGAGATTATTTTAGCTTCATTATGTTATGTTTTATATTTGATCAAGATCCAATGTTAAAAAAATCTCTTTCTGTGTGTGTAGAGTGAGAGAGAGAGAAAAAATGAACTGATCTAATCTAGTTAAATTTACACCTCCTCTGGGCAGAAAAGAAGAAATAATTTTGTTAATCTTTAGAGAGTCTCATTTCAGGAAATTATTAAGTCATTCAAAGGTCGATTCCCTGCCAGGATTCTTCCTGCCTTTCCTCTTTCCATCCCTTCCCTATATGGCATGGGAGAAGGGGACTTAAATTTATGCAGTGGTATCCTCTGGGCCCCCCCTGCTCTCCAGGGAAGTCTACGGCCAGAGCACTTATGATCTCATTTCTGGGCTTGGTTAGAATCCAGAGGACCTCCCCGGCTGGCTCAGCCCCTTTGAGGTTCCTCCTGTAGCAGCACAGCCCTCTACATCTCAGTCAAATTCTTCAAGCCCCTCTCTAGAGGCTCTGCAAGTAGGTCACCCTGTCTCTCACTACTATGGAAGGCCTGTTGAATTCCAATCCAGCCCTTCTTATCCCTCATGGGGCCTGATGCAACTTCTGAATCACTTGCAAGTAACACAAAATCCAAGAGCAATTCAGACCTACCGACAGCCCTGCTCTCTACCCAACCATGTCATGTTACCATTTTTACACTACTGTGACCATCCCATGTCAGGGTAAGAGACCTTTATAAGATTTTCTGTTTATAGCTTGCCAAATAAAAAGGAGGAAAAATTCCCTATGCTTTTGGCTTTTTCCTAATTTATCAATATACATGTCTTCTAGGATATTGGTCCAGAAAAAAGAAATCTATAAAATGTGTATCTGAATTCTAAATTTCCTTATTTCCCTCCTTTTCACAATATACCAAACTGAAGGGACTTGTTACAAACTCCCCCTTTAGTGTAGCAACCTTCAGAGCCTACCCATAATAAGTACACAGAAGGTAGTGGCATGACCAATAAGAAGAACCTAATAAAATGGGTATATTTGCCCGGAAAAGGCAGATTCATCAGGTGGACATGATTTCTTGATGATGAAAGAACTACAGAGCATGGTTGTCATCATATTATCTACAGCAACATTTCCCCCTTCATCCCTATCCCAGCCCAAATGAGAACCTGATTCAATTCCATTAATAAATAGAATATACCAGCAGAGGAAGCTGTAATCTCCCTCTTCCTACCCCTACATCCCCCCACACTAAAAAAAAAAAAAAAAGATCGTATTTTCTGATGGTAGAAAGAGCCCTAAGGTGTGGACAGGCAGCATAGAAAGGCAATGTCCCAGGGTTCAGGGAAGAGTGGTCAATGTTGAGACTAGACCAGAGAGAGGATGGGGGCAATCAGCAACAGCAGCCACGGAAAAATAGCACTAGAATATGTGTGGTAAATGAATGGTGGGAGCAACTTATGGATTGGCACATAGCAGCAGAGAGGGCTTGAAATATGCTGCAGCAGCAAAGTTGAATACTGGTGGGGAGCAGTGACCTCAGTAGGGGAAATGGAACCAGTAATGACTTGACTTTAGTCAATGAGCCTGAAAATGCATGTTTAGCAAGTGTTAGGTACTATATTTGAATCAATAAATTTTAATCCTTCTGCACATGGGAGAAAAAAATTACCAAGACGAGGAAAGAGGAACTCCCTCCATTTGCTAACTCATAAAAATATATAAGGCCCTTTGTTCAGCCTCTGATCTGTTTTCCCAGTGGATCTCACTGACTATGAGGAGATTTTAAGCTCCTCTACTTTGCCTAACATTTCCCCAGGAAGATCCAGTGAGGGTGTCTCAATGGTACAATGGAATAAGACCTCTGAACACCATGAGACATCTGCCATTTTCTCTTCATCACTTTGACTTTTTCTTTTAGTTAAACTTGCTAGATGTTTCATGAAGGTCCCTCTGCTATCACTGAGGAAATTACCTTCTAACTCTGCGGTGCTCCCTGGACCAATGTTCTAAAGAAGTGAGGCCACTGTGGTGAAAGGAATCTGTTGAGTCACTCTAATTCAGAATCATTTCAAAGAAGCATGGTCTTATGCTCCCCAGATCTTCCAGAGCTTGGCTGTGGCACCTGCTTTCTCTATTTCTGCTTCAGGTCACTCTCTCCTTTAGGCCTCTGGTGGGGCTGGCCAGAGGACCAGAGCTTAGAGTCAGATATGGTGCCTCCCTTTGACATACTGGCAATGCTTCCTTACCTCAAACTCTTCTTTTTCTTATTTTTTCAACCCCATCCTCCCTTAGTGTTCTGTAGTCAACAGCCCCTTTGTCATATTCTTTGTGTCTCACTTAGAAGTTTTTGCTCCATGTGTTTGTTACTCATCCTGGTGGGGAAAACTGGAAATGGGAAAATCTGGTCTAGTGCTTAGGATTAAGTTTAATGATACGTATACTGTTTAAGGAAAAGAAAAGAAGAGGGGAGGGGGGGAGGGGAGGGGAGGGGAGGGGAGGGAGGGAGGGGAGGGGAGGGGAGGGGAGGGGAGGGGAGGGGAGGGGAGGGGAGGGGAGGAGAGGAAAAAAGATCAGCATTCATTTCCCCCAAACTCTTCCATGTGCTTGCCCAAATCCTTATGCATTGTTTAAGAAATATGATATACTCCTTTCTGACTCATTTACATTTGTTGTTAGTCATCAAAAGGAGTCAGAAAAACTTTTGGAACCTCTCCCTATGAACCAGGAAGTTGCATTTCCCCTCCAGTCACAACTCCAAAAGGTTCAAATCACGGGATAGTTGGCAAGATGCCTTCTCTTTGTCATCAGAAACCTGGGCCCTGTGGCAGAGACCCAAACTCATTTTACTAGGCCAGCATTACTCTGATATCAAAGCCAGATAAGGACACTACAAGAAAAGAAAACTTCAGACCACTATCACCAATAAATACAGATGCAAAGTTTCTAAACCAAACATCAGTAAACTGAATAGCACATTAAAAGGAGCATACATCATGATCAAGTGAGATTTATCCCAGTGATGCAAATCAATAAATGTGATATACCACATTAAAAGAATGAGAGATAGAAATTATATGATTATCTCAATAGATGCAGAAAATGCATTCAACAAAATACAATATGTTCTTATGATAAAAATTCTCAACAAATTGGGTATAGAAGGATCATACCTCAACACAATATGTGCCATATATGACAAACCCAAAACCAACATTATACTCAACAATGAAAGATTTAAAGCTTTTCCTCTAGGATCAGGACGAAAAAGCCAATATAAGTGGCAACCTCATTGACATTGTTTTCTTCCACAATTTTAAAAAATATGACACCAAAAGCACAAGCAACAAAAGCAAAATAAATAAGTCGCACTATTTTAAAATAACAAGCTTTTGCACAGCAAAGAAACCATCAACAAAATAAAAAGGCAATATATGGAATGGGAGAAAATACTTGCAAATCATGTATCTGGTAAGGAATTAATATCCAAAATATGTTTTAAAAAACCCTCATTCAACTTTAAAAAGGCAAAATCACAAACAACATGATTTAAAAAATGGATAGAGGATCTGAATAGACATATTTTCGAAAGAGACAATGAAATATCACCTCATACCCATTAGAATGCTATCATCAAAAAGACAAGCATTAAAAAGTGTTGGCAAGGATGTGAGGAAAAAGAGGACTTCTTGAGCACTGTTGGTAGGAATGCAAATTGATTCACCACTATGAAAAATAGTATAGAGATTCCTCAAGAAATTAAAAATAAACTGCTATATAACGCAGCAATCCCACTTCTGTATTATATCTAGGGAAACAAAAGACAATGAAAACAGGATAGTGAAGAGATACTTGCACTCTCATGTTCTTTGCAGCATTATTCACAACAGCCAAGATATGAAAACAGCCTAAGTGTCCATCAACAAACAAATGGAAAAAGAGGACATGGTGAATATACACAATGGAATATTATTCCGGCATTTCATGGTGGCTTTATAAGTTTTCTGTTTTTTCCTTAAATTTTACTTTTCAATTACAGTTTGCATTCAATATTATTTTGTACTAGTTTCAGGTATACAGCAAAGTGATTAGACAATCATACTTTACTAAGTGTTTTCCCTAATATTTTCAGTACCCAACTGGCTATCTGATTTCATATTGATTAAAGGTATTTTGTTTTTGTCTTTAATAAAGGAGGAAAGGAAGAAGGAGTAACAGCCAGTAGCCACAATGATTGCTACCAGCTGTTCTGCAGTTAGGCATAAGAGCTAAGCACTCTTTATAATCAGGCAGCTTGCTTATATTAAAGTCGCTGTATGTTTTAGAAGAGAGCCAAATTTTTACTGACTTTCCCAGATAATTTAAAAAATACTACAAATATTGATGACTGTTGGAAATTTTGGGGATTTTAAAATACCTTGTTTTGAGATAAAAGCACTTGTTTATGATTGCAAGGTTCTTGGACCCCTTCCCTACTCCTCATCCTCCCTCCAAAGAAAATATGACTAGAGAAATTTCAATAAGAAATGCATGGAACCCAGAATATGAGGGCATCCTCCGATTTTCTTCATATTCTTGAGACAACAATGCACCCTTAATTAATTATATTTTTCCTTCCTACTTGTCCTTGAGATAGAAGCATATCTAAGCTTATTATATCCTCCCAAGTGCTATGCCTGGATTTTCCTTGGCATTGGCACATATCCATGGTATTGAGTCCTCCTTTTACATCTTAAATTAAGGGCTCTTTCATATACATAACCTTGGCCTCCTCAAGTTTCAACAGGTTTCCCTGCTCAGCTGCCCTCAGAATCTGCCTTTACCTCTCTAAATTACATACCATTTCTCTGGAAGAATTTCCTGATGTCTCCTTCCACCTGTTCTATCTGTACAGTGGCAGAATTGGCATGAGGTTTGGGTCATGGTGGTGCCTCATGTAGGTTGGTTTCTGAGCCATTTAATAAAAAGACTCATTTAATAAAAAGACTCATTTAATAAAAAGCCCATAAAGACAAGACTTACACACTCAAGGTTACAAAAACTTCATAGTCACCAACCCTCACAAATGCCAAACAGATGATTAGAAAGACAAACCTCTGAGTTTACAAGGTTTTTCAAGAAGATAGACTTCTCAGAGGAATTCATTTTATTTTTTTAATATATTTTTATTGATTTCAGAGAGGAAGAGAGAGGGAGAGCGAGAGAAACATCAATGATAAGATTCATTGATCGGCTGACTCCTGCATGCCCCCTACTGGGGATTGAGCCCACATCCCCAGCATGTGCCCTGACAGGGAATTCAACCATGACCTCTTGGTTCATAAGGTCGACGCTCAACCACTAGGCCACACCAACTGGGCAGGAATTCCTTTTAGAATCCTTGAAACTCAGCAAAAGAAGAACACCCAAATGGACCTGCAAACTTAAAAAGGAGTTAGACATTGACATTAGGAGAAATTCTGTTAAGGCAAATTGGATTTAGTCAAAATATATGTTTTACTTCTTACTTTTATGATGGGAATTGGGGGACAGGAGGACATAGATCAAGTATTTGGTAAAGAGTGTGAAGTTTTAGAGTTCCTATACAAAAAGAGATGAAATCATTCAGAGATGCTGGTAAATTACACCCTTGCAAGGGTCTTCCTGCCTTGGGAAAGTCCAAGTTGGGGCCATTTCTGCCGCTAGCTCCATAACTCACTTGAGGAGAGGGGCCCTTTTCTCAGTGCCCTGAGCTTTCACGCTGTGGGCATAAGTTATGGGTCCCTGTGTGAAATGAAAATGCAGGGTCTCTTGTTAAAAAATGAAGTACTTCAAGATGACAGCAGTGCGGTAAACTAAGCATATAGTCCTTCTGAGCGCAGGACGCTGTGTGGCTGCACAGGTCACAAGGCTGTGAGGCTAGTGCGTCTGTGGAAATAACAGTTCTCTCATCTCTCCTTCTCTCCTCTACCCCTCCCTCTTCCCACTTAACCTCCTTATCTTACTTTCTGGATGAAAAGTCCCTGGGTAGCTAATGGAGGTATATTCGGAGCTACAACACTGACTGTACTGATGGCTCCCATGGTTGCTTTGACTTGAATTCAGTTCCTGGAGACACTCGATATTTTCTTAATCTTCTCCAAATCTGCCTGTTAATATGGTATCTGGCCTCCTAGCAGAAGCAGAGAACGTTCCAGAAATTTAAGAAATTAGAGTTATCAAAGCTATCTCTTGCAACCATAAAATGAAAATGCACTAATTTTTGCTTCTTTTCCCCTTTAATTTGATTTCCTGTGGGAACTTCCTTTCCTGTTATAAGAATGGAGGTAAGACATTGTTATTATATTAATGTTTTGTTTTGTTGAGTTTTAATTTTTGTTTGACATGCCATCTATTGTCTATTTGCTGAGCACTGCAATCTTTCAGAAACTTTCTAATTTCAAATCCTTTTAATACTCTTACAAGGTAATGATGAAAATGGAGATGATAACATCTATGGTGCATCAAGCACTGTTTTTAGGGTTTTATATGCATTACTTAAAGTTATCCTCAGGAAATCCCTATGAAATAGGTACTATTATTATCCCTATTGTACAGAAAAGAAACTACGAGAGTTTCTTTGAACTAGAGAGTTCCAGTGACTTACAGAGCTAGTAAATTATAGGCTTGGAAAGAGAACCCAGAACTGATTCCCAAACTCTTCCCCATTGCTTTATCCTGTAGATAAGAAAGTATCACCTTGTAATATAATATTTGGCAATTTATAGTGTTTTATTTGCAGTAAAATTGACTTTCATAAAAACTCTAAATTTACAAATGATGAAACTGATATTAAAAATAATTAATAATAGTAATAGAGATAATAGCAGCTAAGTTTTGTGGTACATTTATAATTGCTACCTTTCTCATATCAACATTTCAGCAATTTTATGGGGCAAGCACTATTATCACTATATTTTTATATGCGGAACTTGTTGCACCAAGGATTGTCAGGACTACATAGCAAAGAGCAAAGCCTCAATCTGATCTCAGGTAGACAGATACAAGAACTTAGATTGGTAACAACTATACTAACCCAGTTAGCACAGTAACTGAGCAGGATCTAAACCACCAACCACTCTTCCTAATTCCATGGAATGAAAGAACACATTGCATACAAAAATTTGGTTCTTTATCTCGTCCCAATTCATATAGATGTGACCTACTCATTTATCACAGTTCTAAGAGACAGAGTTCTGATCCTTAAGAATTCTACAGTGAAGCTGAATAAGCTACTGAGGGGACATACAACATAAACATGATAAACATGGTAAAAGTTAAATTAAAATGCGGGCCACCAACAGACCCTTTAGCGCACCTGTACTCTCTATGCATTTTTAAGCCACTCACTCTATTCCTGGCACTATATAGGAAAGTAATAAATCAAAACAATTCAACATATTAATGAAAGCACATACAAATTCCAAGGTCTCAAGAACAGAAGTAGATCATTCACATGCACGTAAGTGCAAATGAAAAATTTTACACTCATTAGTAGTCAAATAATGCTCATTAAATAAAATTCCATACCATTTTTCACTTGTGATAACACAGCACTCTCAAACTCTTGGTAGGAAGAAAATTACAATAACCTTTCTAGAGAGGATTTGGCAATTTTTATTAAGAAACTTAAAATGGTTGTATCTATTCATTGGATAAATCCACTTATAATAATTTATGTTAGGGAAATAATAAGTGTATGAACAATAAAATCCAAAACAATTTTTCCTTTTATTTATTGGTGAAATGTATGAGCAATTTCAATATTTACCAATAAGATAAATTGATGTGATTTTAGAATGTTTTTGAATAACATAATGGCATAGGCAAATGTTTACATCATGCTAAGTAAAAATGCATGATATAAAACATTTATAAAATAATTCTAATTGTAATTATGTACACCATGTATACTACCTATCGTATATATAAAACTGTATATATTACTCTCAAGTATATACGGATTATAACTGATATATGTACAAATATTCAAAGTGTATATATTTGGCTAATGTAATAAATTTTCAAAATTTTTTAATTTTAATTTTGTCTTTACATCACTCTCTGTTCTACAAAATAGATAGTAATTTTAGTCAGAAGAAACACAAGAGGTATTTTTCAGAGGAGGCCATGTGCTTCTTACTTGAGGACACTGGGTCTGGCATTTCAGAAAAAGGACATTTGATCTATGTTTTAGAGCAGAGGTTGGCAAACTTCTGCAAAGGGCCGTATATTAAATATATTTGGCTTTGTGGTGCCTACGGTCTCTGTTGTCACTGCTCAATTCTGTTTCAGGGTAAAAACAGTATGACTACTAATAAATGATTGAACATAGTTCTGCTCCAATCAAACTTAACTTATGGAACTGGCATTGGAGTTTCATATAATTTTGACTTCTTTTGTGTGTGTTTTTCAACCATTTAAAAATATAAACACCATTCTTAGCTCACAGGAGGTATAAAAATGGGCAGCAGGCTGAATGTGACCTGTGGGTTGTATTTGTTGACTGCCTTAGAGAATGAATCATGTACAAAGACACTAGGCATGAAAGAATAAAATATCCCAGTTTGCTTTGGAGATTGGAAGTGACATAGAACCCTGCTCATAACATTGTTGGGTAAGTGCAATGGGAGACCAGACAGTTGGGATAGAGGGAAAGGAGATTTTTCCACATCAAAGGAGGTACAGGTGGGCCACCCTTAAGGAGACCAGTAGAAGGTGTGAATTTTCACTGGAGTAGTGGGGTTGCCTTATCTCAAACAAACCACAGCTAGTCCTCTGCATGGACAAGGCATTGTGTTCAAAGGGAATGGAGGTTTCCCTCACAGAAACTCTACAATCACTTTTAAAAATGTGACATACATTTTAAAGCAGAGAGAGTAAGAGTAAATGGTGTAGTGAGACTCCTTTAAGACTCCATTTGACCAAGGAAAATTGTGTGTAATAAAAGAAGTTAACGGGGGACTTGAGATCAAATATCCAAAGAGAGAAACTTTACAGAAAGGAAGATCAGCCAGGTTTAGTTTGTCAGGAGAGAGAGAGGACTGGCTCCATGAGCAATATTAACTAGCATTTTTGGAGACAGTCCGGCAGATCATTCCAAAATAACTAACATTCTGCGAACAGATCCCTGTGACCTCTAACCCACTGTTCAAATGAACAACAGGACCAGCTGCTTCTGGTGTTGCTCCACGGGCCTTCCCAAGAACTGCTTGCCGACAGGGAGGGGTCTCCTCACTTGCAAAAGACAACAGGAGACAACAATGGAAGTAATTTGCATTTATCTTGTCCCCTAAAGTGCTGCTGTGAGCTCCTTTTAAATTTTGTTTGATAGTGTTAGGAGGTTGAGGAACAAAATGGCCCAATATGCCTTTGTGTTTTGCCTCTAAAATGTAATAACTGCATAAAATTTGAGGTTTATAAAGTCTTCAAAAGAAGAGAGAAAAAAGAAAAGGAAGTTGTTTCAACTCTGAAACTATGACTGGGCAGTCTCTGTCTCTCTCCACTTATAATGTATATGTACACATATGTATAAAATGTGTATATTTGGTCCTGTATATTATTTCTTACATTGTAGAGCTAATCCTAGTAAGTCTTTAATGCTTCCAGAAATATTACAAAGACAAAGAAAATTAATATGAACCATATACTTTATATTATACGGTTTTCCCCAGCATGCAAAGGGTTTGCACAGGCTAATTAACTTCAAGCTGATAGAAAAGCCAAAACTGCAACCAAAGTTTTATTTCTATTAAAGACTTATCCTGTTTTCTTCTTTTGATTTTTATTTATTTATTTTTTGCATTATGTAGCTAATATTCAAAAAGAAATGAAGACTCAATACTATCAAGTCAACTGAAGTTGTTAAAAAATGTAGGGCTTTTTAGGAGACGCAGCAGAAATTCAGAATGAGAGACTGTTTAGTAACTGACTTAATAATCCTTATCTCTGAGGCTATTTTCACTTATTTTTCTTTTCTTTTTTTCTTTTTTTTTTTTTTAGTTTCCAATGTTTTCTTAAAAATGTTTTTTGTTTGTGTGATTAAAGAAAAAATGAAGAACAGTTATTCAATAGTTAACATGTGACAGCAAAGCCTGCATAAAACCTTCTCAGCTCAGAGACAGTGGGGGAAATATTGAACTTTTACATTACAGTTTTTTCCTGTTAAGTGAAGAATCACACCTTCACTTACCCACCCTCCCTTTTAGCAAGATATTATATTAATATGTGAGACCATTTTGTAAACTAGTTTGAGCTACTTCTGGTTATTAGGCATTACTATTCAGTTTCTTAAAAGCACCACATTGTGCTTCTCTTAAACTTCTTTAGTGTTATCTTAGTTCCTTCCCTAAGAAGTGGGGTTTTCGCTATTTCTCTGGGTGTCTTCCCAACCTTACCTGGCCCAAGTTTTCATGGGAGTTTTGTATTTTCTTATTCAAGGCCTTTATTTTAAAAACCTGTAACATGCTAGAAGTAACACAGTCAAATTCATGTAGACTAATTAGGAAAAGGCAAGTATGGATTAGGGGAAAATTTTATATTAGAAAACATTATAAGTATATTGTTTCTTGGAAGTTCATTGTTTTACCTAATTGAGTTGTATCTCATTTAATAAATTTGCTTTTAAAAAGCCAATAGTGGTTTCTAATTAAAGTATCAATTTTTCAAATTCAAATGGGTTTTCTTAACACTTTAAAAATTTGGCACAAATTCTAATTTGCTTAATTTTCTTGTCTTAGGATCCTTTATATAAAGATAATAAAATGCTAACTTCCAACAGTTATACAAATTAAATGAGAATACAACTTAAGAATTGTATGTCATTATTAAAGATAGAAATCTGATGAAAGACATAAGGATGTATTGAAACCATCATAGTGCCTACACATAAGTGCTCAATAAATATTTGTCAAGTGAGTACTGAAATTAATATAATTCCCAACACTCCATTAAGGAGGCAGTGAATATGTGAAGGGAATACCAGCAGCATTGCCTATTTGCCCTATTATTCTCTTCAATTGCTATAGTGGATAAGCTTTTAATCTTATTTTTGTGCTAGCACTATAGAACTTAGTTTTTCTCCACATACATTTATCCATTAATGCACAATAATCTAAGTTCAGAATAATTACATCACTCTACAGATTAGGATATTGGGACTCTGAGTGACTGTATGACTTTCCCCAAGACAGATGATGAGAAAGTAGCAAAGCTAAAGATGCTCTTCACTCCTGAGAGCCATATCCTATGCTTTCTCTCCACTTATGTGGCTTTCTTTATATTCTTTAACTAGAGGCCTGGTGCATGAATTTGTGCACAGGTGGGGTCTGGCCAGCCCTGCCCCGATTGGGCGGACTGGGGGGAGGAGCTGCAGGAGGTTGGCCAGCGGGCCCCACCCCCAATCGGGAGGGGGGGTCAATGGGGGCCAGGGCTGGCTAGGGGGAGGGGCCGCGGGAGGTTGGCTGGCCAGCCCCGCCCCGCACAGTGCATGTCATAGTGACTGGTCGTTCGGTCATTCTGGTAGCTTAGGGTTTTATATATATAGATGGAATGCTGGGAAGATGGGTGAGTGAGAGAATCTGAGTATGGAAAGTATCTCAAAGTTGTATGTATGCTACAAAATCCAAGTATTTAACTATCCTAACACAGATAAACTGTAAAGCTTTGGATCAGAGTATTTATTATGCTAGATTATTTTTTAATCATCATGAATATGTTTTTTTATGTATTTGTTTGCCTATGTCAGCTTATTTGTAAGAAGAATCTCAGATTGCTTAACTAAGAGCATTCAAATTCTATGTATAAAGATCCCCAGTTTCCAAAGCTTCCCACACTCATTATCACATCTGATCCTCATTATAGCCCTCTGGAGTAAGCCAGAGGTGATATGATTGCAGGTGGAAATGTGAAGACAGTATTCACATGGAGCATTTCAACCAATTTGCTAGTGCAATTTTCTCCTATTTCTGTAATGTAGATGTGGAAACTGGAGAGAGAAAAAAGCAGACTGAATGCTAAGAAAAAGCATGTGATTGGGAACACTGTTCACTGCTTCTTTCAGTAAACCACAGAAAGATAACAAAGGCTACTGCGCCCAGTACAGAGGGGAGGTGTGTAACACTGTCCTGGCAAACGGTGCCCTTGTTTTCTTCAACAACTCCTACGCGGACCCTGAGGAGGCCCAAGAACTACTCGCACACACCGCCTGGAGTGAACTGAGAGCAGTGAGCCCGTTCTGCCGGCCAGCTGCGGAGGCTTTGCTGTGTAACCACATTTTCCAAGAATGCAACCCTGGGGTGGTACCTACTCCTATACCCATTTGCAGGTAAAATTAAAAGTAAATAAATGGGTGAATGTATTTGACTGTCTCCAAACAGGAAGAGTTTTCCAAAGTGGAAGTTGTCTTGTGCATTAGTAAAGGCAAAAACTGGCTTTTGTCCAAAATAGAAGGCAATTAATTGGACAAAACTCCTACCATATAAATAACTGATGATACCTTATCATACGAGGGTCCTGAGCTCCTAGAAAACGTTGTAAAGGTATAATATTCTGTTGCCCTTGTTATTGTTCACATTATCATATTCTTAAATATCCTTGCTTTCTATGAAATTAAAAAAAAAAAACTAAACTAATATGGATCTTATTAGTAAGCCAAAAGAGAGAAGGGAAAATAAAACTACATTTCAAGTGTTTCAGCATTATTTGCCAATAAATATGAGATCAAGATGAGCATTTCAGAATATTTATATTATGTGTAAATACATATGTATATTTTTTTAAATATATTTTTAATGATTTTAAAGAGGAAGGAGAGAAAGGTAGAAACATCGATGATGATAGAGAATCATTGATAGGCTGCCTCCTGCATGCCTCACACTGGGGATCAAGCCCACAACCCAGGCATGTGCCCTGACTAGAAATCAAACCTTGACCACCTGTTTCATAGGTCAATACTTAACCATTAGGCCACACTGGCCGGCTGTATATATTTTAAAATACATTCCACCCACTATTTTCATTTAAGTACTGACACTCTTGTCTCATATGGGAGCAGGAGGAGAAGCAGGGAAGCATACAGCAAGGGACAGGCCTCAGCTTCTCCAGAGCGGGGCTGGCTAAGGACTCCCAGGCCCTCCTGTAGCCTGCCAGGAAAGTTGTGGGGTTCTGTTTTGAAAGACAAGCATGCAGAGTGAGAACTGTGTTTCTCAGGCCCTGCCCATTAGCCCCGAGATTAGAGGAAAATCTCCCAGGATGAAAGTTGACTGACAATGATCCATGATTTTAGTGTGTGTGTTTTTAAAACTCTGTGTACCTTGTTTCGGCACCTTTGTAGTTATTCTACTATAAAGTTGAGAGGAGAGAGTTTACAGATTCCTAATCTAATACCTTTTGAAATTGAAAGTTGGTATTTTTTCCAAGAAAACTGTACTTCACATGTCATCTTACTTTTAAAGGTAGCATTAATTATGTCTTACAAACAAAATGAGACACCATTTCATCTGACAGGATAATATATTCCATAAAGCCTCATATTATTTACAATAAAACAGTCCTTTCAAAAACCCTCTTGTGAGAACAATGTGCTGGGATGATGTTTTGAAAATAAAGAATTGAGGCGCTGCCACAGATTTGGCGCTAACATGCCATGACTCATCAAGTGTTGCTCTTCACCAACTGTTTTAGAGAATACTGCCTGGGGGTAAAGGAGCTCTTCTGTGCAAAAGAATGGCTGGCGCTGGAAGAGAAGACCCACAGGGGACTCTACAGACCTGGGCTGCATCTGCTCTCGGTGCTCGACTGCAGCAAGCTCCCCAGCATGCACTGGGACCCGCGGGCCTGCACCAGACTGCCATATTTAGGTAACAGAGTCCTCGCAAGACTTTGGAGGTTACGAGACAGTTACTGGTTTTGAAGAAACTAAGGTGTGCACTTCAATCTAATATTTCTAGGCATTTCAATTTTTTTTTTGAGTTCTGCCTCCTGTGGATACCTAATAACAGAATCCTAATTGCACAGGCTAGTATAAGGATTTACTTCATTTGTTCTCAGAGAAATTAAAGAGCACTTCTAACTGCTGCTTGAGAGCTTACCTTATTTCAGAAGGGGATCTTAGGAGAGCTTGTACTATTTTCTGGAATGTGCAGAGAAATGGCTAAGGAACAGAATAAAAGAATAAAGTCCTCTTTCTTAGCCAGTGCAGCAGATTTTTAAGCATGCAAAAATAAGCCACATGTTTGAAAGTGCTGACCTCCCGAAACAAAGCTGGATCCCTGCATGCTGCTTTAATGAACTTTGTAAGGAACTCTAACAGCTGGCTTAATTTCCAAGACGCAATCCTTTCACATTTAACACAAAGAATGTTTTCCAGTTGCATATCAAAGAGCTGAAAGAGAACTTGCTGTTCTTAGCACTCTCACAGAATATATGAGATATCTGGATGCTCACTTAAAACAGATTTTTATCCTTTCCCCCTCAGATTTTAAAAAAGAAAACCTAACAAGTAAGTAATTTTGTTTGTGCCCTTGAAACCTTCTGTGTATGTAAGTAGAGTCGTGCATGCGTAGTTACACTCATACTTCATAATGTCCAGAACAAAATCTACAGATCCTCTTCAAGGTCGTCAGTCACCCAGGGTAGAGCATGAAGGAAAACCATTGGTCTCAGCTTGTAGCTTCTAATTAGGCCATGGAGAGCAGCATATTTAGTGAATGATACAAATGATATCTCCTACCTCAAGATTATTAGCTTGCTTGATCCCTTACTACAGCAGTTCTCAACCTGTGGGCCGCGACCCCTTTGGCAGTCGAATGACCCTTTCACAGGGGTCACCTAAGATCATCCTGCATATCAGATATTTACATTACGATTCATAACAGTAGCAACATTACAGTTATGAAGTAGCAATGAAAATAATTTTATGGTTGGGTCACAACATAAGGAGCTGAATTTAAGGTCCAGAAGGTTGAGAACCACTGCCTTACTAGTAGTACATGGCTATAAAATACACCAAATTGAAAATGTCACTTTTGACTTTACATTCATGATTTTTGTATCAGCTAATTATCTAGAGTGAAAACAAGTATCTTTTTCTTCATTGAGCCAATTCATGATCTTTACCTGTGACAACAGATCTCTTTTTTGGAAGATAGGTGTTGTTGTTTTTAAGACAGCTAATTTCCAATAAAAAGTTTACAGGGACAAATCAAATGATTTTAAAATGGCTGTCTCAAAATTCCTGGGAAAGAATTCAAAAAGTTTGCTTGAAAAGGGATGTCCTAGAAACTAACTTGTATCGGAGAGTGCTTTAACCTACAAAAATGCAGAAATCTTCAGAATGATACTAGAAAAGTTTTTCATGTCAGTCAGCTTCCTCTGATTTGAGTGTTCTGAGACTTAAATCATAATTAGTTCCTGTGATACATATTCCAAACCTAATCACCTCTGTGTCTGGCTAAGTGCCAGCACTTGATTTTATTGGCTTACTTAAAGAACTAAGACTTAAAGTATTTTTATTTTTTTTAAAGAATGCTACTGGCTGCAACTGAATGCCTCAGAGTTTTTAAACAAGAGCAGTTAGGGAAAACCAAGAACAAAAAATCTATTATTCTGAAAGCCTGTCAAATTGTTATTCCCAAATTGAAAGAATGAAAAAGAAATGTTTCTAGTCTGTGTCCTAAGAAGTCAAAGTTTACTTTGATTGGACTTTTAATTGTTGACTGAGGTCTATGTTATCCTTCAACTGTTTACTCATTCATCCATTCAAGCAGTTCACTGAGGGTTATTGTGGGGAAGGGACTGACCTTTAATCCTAGATTAGATAGGAATAACCCGCACAAAAAGCACCCATATTTCTGCTTTTTAAGCCAATTATAAAGATATAAGTATGAATTACCTACAAAAACTCATTTTCTATTCTTAAAAAATCAGTTTTACAAATGAACGACACAAAAAAACAAACAACAGTGGTGTTACTAGAAGAAAAGGGTGTTGGGGTGAGGTCATAAAGGGTAAAGGGGGTCCAATATATGGTGACGGTGGTAAAACACATGCAATATACAGGTGATTTATTATAGAACTTTACACCTGAAACCTATATCTAGCCTTACCTATAGACACTCCCCAACTCAACAATAAAACTTTTACTAGCAGATGTACTTTTAGAAAGGCACCACAACTGTTTGGTTTGGGCCCTGATACATGTTATTCCTTTTTTAGAGAATACTATCTCTCCACCGCCATATACAGACATACACCTTCAACTGGTATTGCCTGTTCACCCTTTATATTTAACTTTGTTACTTACCTAGAAAATGTATCCTATATGCCTAGACCAGAAATGGACTGCCCCTGGATGTTCACAAGCATCCTGTTCTTAACATTCTTGTAACACTTTTTACACTTTATTATAATTACCTGTTTACTAATTTTTCCAAGTTAAATACATTTTAAATGTATTTTTATTGATTTCAGAGAAGAAGGGAGAGATAGAAACATCAATGATGAGAATCATTGATAGGCTGCCTCCTGCATGCCCCCTACTGGGGATCGAGCCCACAACATGGGCATGTGCCCTTGACCGGAATAGAACCTGGGACCCTTTAGTGCAGTGGCTGCCAACCTTTCAAACCACGGGCCATTGGTTGGTGACCGCTGCTAGTCCACAGGCTGATGCTCTATCCACTGAGTCAAACCAGCTAGGGCCCAGTTAAATACTTTAACACTAAGATGTGTCATGATCACTACAGTATTCTTGATACCTAACATTCAATATTAATTTAGGGGACACATTAATGTATGAATGAATGAGTGAATAAAATTCCCCTGATGTCCAGAGGAAAAGGATAAAGAGATAAAATCATGATGAGAAGATGCCCGGTAATGTGGTTCTGTGGTTGTGTGTCAACCCATGAAGGGGTCATAGTTTGATTCCCAGTCAGGGTACATGCCCAGGTTGTGGGCTCAATCCCCAATAGAAGCATGCAGGAGACAGCTGATCAATGATTCTCATCATTGATGCTTCTATCCTTCTCTCACTCTCTCTTCCTCTCTCTGAAAAAAATAAAAACATTTTTAAAAAATCATGTTGAGGCGAGAAACTTTAAAAGGAAAGAAACTGGAGTTCCAAATTGATTATTTCAATCCAAAGATACAACTAATGTCACTCTAGGGAAGACCAGAGCAAATAGATCAGAAACAATAATCAAGGAAAAGCAAAACAAAACTATCCCTAAAGGAAGAAGTATTTAAATCCATAAAACAAAACTATTGTTTAAACTATGTCAATTTTTGCATTTAGAAAATAAATCATCCTAAATTATCATGGATTATCCTCTTAATATGCCACTGAATTCTATTTTCTGATATTTTTTAGGAAAAACTACCCTTATATTTATTAATGAAATTACACTACAAACTTTATGAATTACATTACATTTCCTTGCATGTTAAATATGGTATGAACTGCTCGGTAAAATACAGATACAAAAATAGTCACTTCTCCCTGTCTTTTAATGACTGCCCCATCTTTATTATTAGCAGCTCTCCAGTTTAGCCCCCCCCCCTTTTAATTAAATTCAAAATACTGTGGCAGTTAACTGGTTAAATTTCCTAGTTATAGCTATATTCAGATTTTCTAATTCTTCAAATTTAATAATAGCATTTCCCTTAAGATTTAAAAAATGTAATTATTTTATTTTCATTGACCTTTGAATCTATTGTCTAATTCCTTCAACATTCCTAATTTGTATGTTTGTGCCTTTCCTATGTTTTTAAAATTAAAACTCCATTGATTAGGCTACTTAATAATATTTATAAGACCAACTATTCACCTATTTTAAATTCTATCATTTGTGATATATGTATTCTAACTTATTAATTTCTGCTTGTACATGACTGTTACTTTATCTTCTATTTTCCTTTGTTTTCTGTAGTTTTTGTTTCCTTTCCAAAGTCTGGGGATAACTGTTTAGTTCTTTCTTTTTTTTATCTAATGGAAAGAGATAATGCTATGAGTTTATCATTTAGCACAGTTTCAGCCAAATTCCATACCTCCTATTAGGAAGTCATTTTCTAATCAGTGTCTGGCTACTTTTTACTCTATGATGGAAAAGATACTGAATATATTTTCTTTTTTTTAGATGTCCTATTGGATTTTATTTAATCTATTTAATTGTATTTTGGTCAAATAACAGATCTGCATAATTTCTGCTTTTTTATTTTATTGAGATTTTCCTTGATGGCCTGACAAAAAGATCGTGTCTGTCACTTTTCCACAAATATTTCAAAATAAGGTTTATTCTCTCTTTTTAGGGTATAAATTTCATTCTTTACTAGTAAAACTTTCCTGTTAATTATATTATTAAAATACTCTGTATCCATGTTCTTGTCTTTACTTAATCAATTAAAAGGACTTAAAATATAATTAATATGATTGTTTTATAGATATCTAATGCACTTTGCACTCGACTGAGTGATATGCATATGGCATCTTTTGGTTTCTAGCAGTAATGCAGATTTCACCTCATTTTTATATTGCATAGACCAGCCGTGGGCAAACTACGGCCCGCGGGCCAGATCCGGCCCGTTTGAGATGAATAAAACTGAAAAAAAAAAAAAAGACCGTACCCTTTTATGTAATGATGCTTACTTTGAATTTATATTAGTTCACACAAACACTCCATCCATGCTTTTGTTCCAGCCCTCTGGTCCAGTTTAAGAACCCATTGTGGCCCTCAAGTCAAAAAGTTTGCCCACCCCTGGCATAGACCTTTTGAATGGGAGTTTGACAATGGCCAATTTTTAGATGAACTAACTGCTGCTCATTTGTGTCCCAATTTTTCATCTTCTTCCATTAATTTTATTCTGTTTGTAAAACAACAGTATAAAGCTCAGCTTTAGACAACCCTGACTTCAAGTATAATTTCATTAAAAGACTTTATTTAATAACAAATTCCACAATTTCTGTCACGTCGCAAACAACATGATGCATTGGAAAGAGCACTAGTCCAGGATCTGTTGTTGTTTTTTATGGACAACTATTTGTTCTTTTATTTATTATTATTTTTCATATTATTACTAGTATTACAGATATCTCCCCCTCTCCCCACTCCCCTCATCCTCAGACTCCCCCAGGTGTGTATTTTTTGGTCGTGACCAAAAATGTTTTTTTCTCTAAGTTTCATTTTTTAAATTTTATGCTCCTGTAAGCTGGATTTACTTTCAACTGGACCTCACTGGAGCCTTACAATTAGACTTTATAGATATATAACCAGGGAGAATCTGACATATAAAAACATATTCTTAAAATTAAATTTAGTTTACTGATTGCTTGAATACAAAAGTTGCAATTTAAAAGTTTAAGGTTGAATAACAAGCATTATTGTTTACTTTCAGCATTCCCACCAATGACGTCCTCAAAGCCGAGTGTGGACATTCCAAATTTGCCTTCCTCCTCCTCCTCCTCCTTTTCTGTTTCACCTGCATATTCCATGACTGTAATCATCTCTATCATGTCCAGCTTCGCAGTATTTGCGCTTCTTACCATAACCACTCTTTATTGCTGCCGAAGGCGAAAACAATGGAAAAATAAGAAAAGGTGAGGTTCTAGTTTAATCTAACCACATGCAGTAATGTTTTAAAACCTACATATTTAATATTGGAATAGGGAGTGAGAGGTGGAATACATATTACTGCCATGCCAGTCTTTTTATGACATCTATGACATTGCTTTAAAATTAAGCACCCCAACATGATCTTTAAAATATCAGTAACTTTTGCATAGGATCACATGTCCTCAGGTTGACATTTTCAGCACATAGAGGCTAAACAATAATTTGGAAGAATATGGCTATTCCTGCTCCCATCTTCCCCCTCATCTCCATTGCCACTGCTAGACTGGACAAAACTCCCGAGAAAATGTGACATTTGACTCTAGACCAAACCAAATACTTCATTGCTCTAAAACTGAGCAATCTTTGGCTGTCTTAGTATTATTTGTTTCCTACTAAATGCCAAATCTCTTTAGAACATAAGTCTGAGTATAAAGATCTCACCTGAGCCTGAGCTCCTTACTGATCTTACCTTATCCTGCAGAGAATCAGCAGCAGTGACTCTCACTACTCTTCCATCTGAGCTTCTGCTGGACAGACTGCATCCTAACCCCATGTACCAGAGGATGCCACTCCTTCTGAATCCCAAATTGCTCAGCCTGGAGTATCCAAGGAATAATATTGAATATGTGAGGGATATTGGAGAAGGAGCATTTGGAAGGGTCTTTCAAGCAAGGTAAAAAAAAATGTAAAAAAATCTCTTCACTGAAATACGTTGTGTCTGAAAAGTTACCAGGCCAGTATGTATAATAGTTATTATCAAAGTAGTTAATTCTTCATGCCATCAACCTTACTTGTATTGAGAACTGTACTTTGAATCTAAGTAATTTCCCTCTCTGCTCGAAAGGAGGGTGTGTATATGGGGAGAATCTTCATTTGTTAAGTGTTCAAATTATAAGTAATCAGCAAAGTTTAATCATCTTTCCCTTTTAGAAAATAATTTTAAATACATTTTAATTTCTTGCAATATTCTTAGTAAATAATTCTCAAATATACTTCTCTTCAATTTTCAAGTAAACTTTGCTTAAAGTTTACTTTGAACTAGTTTTTCTATTTAAGCACTCAGGGCCTGACCTCTATAGATACTAAATAGATGCTCTTAGAATAGCAAAACAGAAAAAGAAAAAATAATAATGCAAAAATGTCAGAGAAACAAATATGCGCTAGGCCCAATTCCAGCCCTTTGTGTGAACTGGAATAAAAGATCCTCTCTGCAAGATGCAGCTCCTCAGAACTGCTGGGCCAGAGAATGTGGACACCAATTATCACTTGGACCTGGTGCTCTTGGGTGGGACACAACTTTACATCCACTCAAGGTGGCCTTGGGAAGAAGTTTACATGTTTAATGAAAATCTCACACAAATACTTATTAAAAACCAAAAATACGCAATGTATCATTGTAGGGGCTTTGGGGACATAGAGATGAATAAGTCATGGTCCCTACCCTCCTAGAATTTTAGGCTCTGGCCAGAGATTAAGAGGTTAGGATGGTAATGATAATCCCATTGGGTCTGTGGGGTTGTAAAAATTCCTATAATGTATGAATACTGAACTTTTCAAACTTAATCTATATTGAACATAGCCCCAGTGACTTTTATTAATTGAAGTCAAGAAATTTTAAGTACAATCTACTTATTGGCATCTTTCTTTGATTCTGAGGCTCTGGAAAAGGCTGCATAAATGGGGGGATGTAAATGAATATGCACAGACATGTGACTATGAATTCGATTCCTGATCTTTGATTTCTTTCTAAATAAATGAACCTCCCAGGGCTCCAGGCTTACTTCCCCACGAACCGTCCACTATGGTGGCAGTGAAGATGCTCAAAGAAGAGGCTTCAGCTGACATGCAAGCCGACTTTCAGCGGGAGGCGGCCCTCATGGCGGAATTTGACAATCCTAACATTGTGAAACTCTTAGGTATGAGCACATAAGTAAAGACATTTATTGTATCAGAAAACAGAGGCTTTGCCAGTTTTTCCTCCTTCATACCTCACTTGTGCTTTTCTCCTTCATGCCTTGACCAGAGAAATGTCTCTGTTCCTTCCTATATACTAGATTCTGTATCAGGGAGTGGAACATCTCATCAATTCACCTCAGTTTTTAAAAACTGGCTTTTTAAAATTTTACAGAGTACAATGTTGTCATTTCTTTTATTTTCTAATACATAGAAATATACTGTTTGCTAACATCCCTGGAATTAAAAAGTAAACCCTACAATAAATAAGCCAAGATAATAGTGTTTTATTTCTCTTCCTTTTTGAATGGAGATTTTTAATTATTGCCTAAAATAAATAGATCTAATAATCTATTTTTATGGTGATGTAAAATTGTGCCCAAATGATCTAATATTCCAAGTTGCCCAGTTTCCCTTTAAAATGTAGCAAGATTTTAAGATATAAAAATGTCCTCCTGATACTAATTCTAAGACTTTTTAAAAAATATATATTTTTATTGATTTTTTACAGAGAGGAAGGGAGAGGGATAGAGAGTTAGAAACATCGATGAGAGAGAAACATCGATCAGCTGCCTCCTGCACATTCCCTACTGGGGATGTGCCCGCAACCAAGGTACATGCCCTTGACTGGAATCAAACCTGGGACCCTTGAGTCTGCAGGCCGATGCTCTATCCACTGAGCCAAACCAGTTAGGGCTCTAAGACTCTTTATTATTAACATTTTTCCTTTCTAGCATGAATATTGTAAAACCTAAATTTCAGAATGTTTTATGGCAGCAACCTGAAAACTTCATCTAAGATCTTGGGATTGTTTTTGCTATTCTTCCCAAATTTCATGCGACACCTTCCTTACTATCCTTCTTCAGAGAAGTAGCAGAAACACAGAGGAATTACTTACATCTCAAACATCCATTCATAAACTCCTTCACCAAACACTGAGTACCTGGTCTACCAGACGTGGTCAGTTTGCAGAATTTAAAAAAGACTTAAACTCTACTTTTAAGATGTTGGAGAGGAAAATTTCAAATAAATGGATGCTTATGACATAGGATAGTAAGTACTGTGTTAAAGGATGATAGAAGGAAACACTGGAAGGGTCAGGAGCTAAGGCACCCGAGGAGGAATGATAGATACCTGCATCTTATTAGGTAAATAGATGTTTACACAAAGAGATGGGGTCCATATTTGACTATGAAGCTGTCAACAAAAAGCCAGGCCCCATATTCTGATCTGGTCACTTGGTTTTAGTGCTCTTCCCAGTGTGTCGCTTTGGAACCCCAACCTAACAACGGATGCTATTTGGTTCCAGGTGTGTGTGCCGTGGGGAAACCCATGTGCCTGCTCTTTGAATACATGGCCTATGGTGACCTCAACGAGTTCCTCCGCAGCATGTCGCCTCACACCACGTGCAGCCTCAGTCACAGCGACCTGTCCCCGAGGGCACACATCTCCAGCCCTGGGCCCCCGCCCCTCTCCTGCGCTGAGCAGCTTTGCATAGCCAGGCAGGTAGCAGCTGGCATGGCTTATCTCTCAGAGCGCAAGTTTGTCCACCGGGATTTAGCCACCAGGAACTGCCTGGTGGGTGAGAACATGGTGGTGAAAATTGCCGATTTTGGCCTCTCCAGGAACATCTATTCAGCAGACTACTACAAAGCTAATGAGAACGATGCGATCCCTATCCGTTGGATGCCACCTGAGTCCATTTTCTACAACCGCTACACCACCGAGTCTGACGTGTGGGCTTACGGTGTGGTCCTGTGGGAGATCTTCTCCTATGGCTTGCAGCCCTACTATGGGATGGCCCACGAGGAGGTCATTTACTACGTGCGAGATGGCAACATCCTCTCCTGCCCTGAGAATTGCCCCCTGGAGCTGTACAATCTAATGCGTCTGTGTTGGAGCAAGCTGCCTGCCGACAGACCCAGCTTCGCCAGTATTCACCGAATTCTGGAACGCATGTGTGAGAGGGCAGATGGAACTGTGAGTGTCTAAGGTGGAAGATGTGCAAATAAAACATTACCGTTTCCTCTCAGACTCTGGGAGCCAGAGGAACACAGTGCCAGAGGCCCAACAAGACCTAGGTAGAAAGAATAGTAGACATGAGTAGCATGTCATTTGTTTCTTGGGAAAAACAAAAACTGCGCAGAACTCAGATAGGTCAATCTATTGAAAGTTAATGATTGGAAACACAAGCTAGGAATATGTCAGATAACCAGAGATAACTACTCTTCCTCATGGGGAAAGTTTGTATTACATATTGTACAGGAAAGAATGTCATCTGCTGTTCCTGAATTAGCTGGCAGCAGAGTATTACATTTTAATACTCTGCTGTATTACATTTTAATATGAAATGTGATACAGAGCTTCATTTTTAGTAGAACTAATTCCTGTCCATTCTGGGAGTAGTGTAGCTTCATGTATGATATTTAAACAAAACACAGAAAACTAAAAAGAAAAACACATTCATTGTCTCCCCACCCAAAGATGGATGTTTGGTTTTTCTGAATTTCTTTCTTGCACTTAATGCATACTTTTATATTTGTCTGTGACCTACAGAGCTATGGTTTACTTTATTGATAGGGGGTTTGTAAGGAATAAAATGAGCAGTCAGCAAGTCTTCATTCTTACTGTGATTTTTAGTTCCTTTTTCTGTCTTTGTGCTTCTCCTCCTTCAGATGTTTTTCCTTTGTATGCACTTGTCATAAATTTAATCTACTTATTTTGTTCCTAACATTTTTCTGGAAAAAAAATGTTTTTGAGTTTTATAAGTTTATCTTTTTCTTTGAAATTTTTATTGGTATCTTTTCTTTTGCTTTCATCTTTATTTCTTCCTCTTTCCAGGACTTTCTGTCCTTTTTCAGTTATTTAGCTATTTTTTTTCCTTTTATTATCTTAAAAGGAAATATCTTTTAATATATAAAGATAAGCAATATCTTTTCTTATATAAAGATAAGCACTCTGGCCGAAATAACTTTCTAAATAACATTGTGGATTGATATTATATACCTTTTGCAAAATATTACCATTTGATTTTGTGTTTACTTTTGAAGCCACATATTTCAAATCTGTCATTCATTAATTTTGCCACAGTGTATTAAAGCTCTTAAACCATAGTTTATAATATGGGATTTCACAAAATGATCTTATGGCTTTGAGTTATTTTAGACCTGATGTTTTTGTGCCTTTTGACATTTTTTCCTTTTAGAAACCAACTTAATAGGCAGTAGAATTAATATAGTGTTGCTTACCAACTTTCTGCATGAAAACCTATCTTTTTACATTTTATGATTCTTTTAGAAATACTCTGGGACTCAGATTCTTGTGGCACTAGATTTTTCAGTGGAGCTCCACACAGTGTGTCTTTATTTAAGACCAACATGAATGATCTGAGCATGAACCTATATTCTCCCAAGAAGCAAATAAACAGGGAAGAGAAAATAGCAGTCTACACTATACCTGCTTACTTTAATTTAAACTAATTGGTAGTTAGGCAATGGAGAAATGGTCAGAATTCTTGAAAGCAGATTTTCCACTGTCTGCCAGAAGGCTCCACCTGCAACCTCCAAATCCACCTTCATGCAACAACTTGTCATCTTTGCTGGAAAACTTCCCATTTCTTATTCATAGTCACTCCAGGCAACCAAGACAAGCACATAGAAATTACCCGAGACTTTGTCCTATCCTTCACCCCTAATATTCTATCAGTATTACTTTCTAAAATTCTCCTGCTCACATTCCCTCCCCTTCAATTTGACTGCACAATACTCAAGCTCTATCACTGCCTACCTGCCTATTATCTAATCTTCCTTTTTAGGCCAGAGCAGATTCCATGGGCTATAACAATGTAAGGACCTGCCTATTCATAGTTCTGATTCATAAATAGGGAAGTAGGAAGTTAGGATTGAGACCTAAGTAGGGAGGTGTTTTACATAAAAGTCCTGATTATAAGTTCAAATTGAGTCAGGTACCCAAAGGGCTCGAAGAATAAGGCTGCAGCATGAGTTCAAAACAGAAAGCCAAGAGGCCAAACAAAGCAGAGAAATTGGAGAGGGCCACTGCAAGTCGAGAGCTTTCATGTAGATACCCAAGTCATATTTTAAATGGTTCACATATGTATGTCACATATGCTCTGAAAACTTCAAAGGTGTCTTCTGGTTTCATCAGCTGAGAAAGTTTTATTATAAAAGAAAGACATGGAAGTCAAGCCAATCAGAAAAGCTACCACAGAAAAGCAGGTCAGTACAGTTACTAGAGTACCCACCATGTGGCTTGTACTGCGGGTGTCACGTTGGCCCTCAGAGCTAGATTTCCATAGCCTCGGTTCTACTGTCTGCAACTTTGAGCTAGTCTCTGCTTTCCTCCCTTCTGCTCAATGAGTTCCCCGACTCCCCTGTCTCTTTCTCATGGCTTCCACAGCCTCCCAGGCTCTCGGTCTGTATGTGTTTTAGGCTCTGATATTCAAGAAACCAAAGCCAAAAATGTTAAAGAAATATAGGTAAATACAGTGAGTGAGGGAGCAAGCAAGTAAATATTATGGAACCATTCAACTTCATTAAAAATGACTGACATCTAAAAATAACAAGTACAACTCCCACTACAGTAACAGTTATAATAAAAATAACACTATCTGACAGCATTTATTGAATGCTTACCATGTATATTCTAAGGACTCTAAATATATTAATTTAAACCGCACAGCATCGCTATGTCATTGGTACTATCATCATGCCCACATTTTAGGTGAGCAAACAGGCACAGTAACTGGCCCAAGCACACAGAGCAACAGAGCCTAGTGTATGATCAAAGAGGCTGAGCTCTCAACCACCATACTGTGGTGCTTCAGTTTATAGAGAGGGAACCTCTGTGACTGTAAGGAGGTGATTTGTAATTTGCATGAACTATACCCCTTTTATTACTAACTTCATATCCAAGTCTTTATTGAATAGCAAAAAAGTATACTGTAGCATTGTCAATTTAATCAGAAAGTCAAATAGATAGCATGTTTCTTTTTGTTACCTCTAAATGTATTTCCAATTTAGGTTAAGATCACTGTTATTTCCTTAATGCTTATCCCAAGGTTCTGTATTGAGGAACATGGACCCATTACTTACCAGTATTGTTTTCTTTTTTAAATAAATTTCCCATTGTAAAATCATTGTACAAACTCAAAAAGAGAGATGAGAGAGAAAGATACTCATCATGCCATTGTTAACAAGTGCCAGAACAGTGTGAGACACTAAGTCACCTTAAGTGGTCAACTATCAAGCATGGCAAGAGTACCAGAGTATATCACATAACACCAAAAAATAAAAAATAAAACCCCGACAATTTTGGGGGAATTGTAATGGAGCAGAAAAAGAACACTTCTCACTTTGTAGTGTATTATGAACCTATTCCATATCACAAAATAATCTTTAAAATGTCCATTTGATTTCTGATATTCCATTTTATGGCTATACCATAATTTAGTTTTTTCTTATTCTTTAACATATAACTTTTTCTAATTTTCACTATTATAAACAATATTGTAATGAACATCCTTATTTGGACATGGCCATAATTACCTCTTTATGGAAATTCTGAGAAAGATAATGTTTGGGCAAATGGCATGCACAATAATAAGGCTTTTGTTATGTATTGTCACATTCCCTAGAAATAGGGTTCTCATCTCTGCATTGCACAAGAGAGCTCATAGCCCTAATCACTTGCTGTCAGAGAATTAATTCTCTATTTTTAAGAAATCTTTAGTTTATCTGATTATAGAAAAATATCTCATTTTCATTTTGTTTTAATTACTAGTGAAGTTGAATTTTTCTTGTTCCTAGGTCATTTATAGTTTTTATTTGGGGAATCATCTATGATTCCCCATTTTTCTATTGTGTTATTCATTTTCTAATTGATTTATAAGACTCATTTTATAAACTGGTGTTATACTTTACACAAGGAAAAAAAAGTATTTATACTTTCACCTTAAAATAACATTTATAGAAGACCTTTGAACAACATGGGATTGAACTGCACAAGTCCACTTATACACGGATTTTTTTCAATAAGTACCTATACTGTTTTCTATGCAGAGGGCCGACTGCATGCATTGATTATACATCCTATAGGATAGCTGAGCATCCACAGAGTTTAGGTTCCGCAGGGGGTCCCACATCCAGTCGCCTCATGGATACTGAGGAACAACCTAGGTATTAGGGAAGTCTGAAGTTATACATAGATTTTTAACTGGTGTGTGTGTAAGGGGAGGGAGTTGTCTGTGCCCCTAACCCGCTCATTGTTCAAGGGTCAACTGTACATTTTTATTATTTGTTTACTTTTTAAAGAAAAAATAAGCAATAATATATAATAATAATATATACAATGTATAATAATAAAGAAAATAAAAAATAGCAATCAGTAGTAACTAACATTAACATCAAGATAAGTATTCTTTCAGCCTTTTTCAGATAATTAAATAGATTGGTAGGTAGATAGATGATTGATAGATAATTTTTAAACAAAAGCAAGATCATATCATTATATTGTTTCAAGCTTTGCTTTAATCACTAAATGTATCATTAATATCTTCCATGTCAACAAGTATTAAATGGCTAACGAGTATTCTATCATATGGACTTAATATAACTATTATTTTATTGTTGGACATTTGGTTTATTTCTATCTTTCATTATAAAATATAATGTATTGGTAATTAATCCTATTGCTAAGTTTTGTGAGCATCTATCTGAAATTGTGATTTTTTTAGATGTAACTCCTAGAAATGGAATTTTTGGACTAAAAGTTCTATACAATATTAAAGCTTTTAATATAATGAAAAATTACCTTCCATTATTTTATCAATGTTATACATCTTTCAGTCAAATACTAGTAAGTCCATTCTTTCAAAGTCACCAAAATTGAGCATTAGCATTTTAATCATTGCCAATATAGCTTAAAATTTTTATTTTATGGTATATGCTTTATTTCTTTAAATAAGATAAGGTTGCACATTTTTTCAATGTTTTGGAGACAATTTATTTACTCTTTGATTTGCCTCCTACTGTTGTTTTTCTTTCTATTGGATGTATTTTTTTCTTGTTGCCTTAGAAAAGCACTTTATATATTAAGGAGCAAAATTTTGTCTTACATGCTTCACCTACTTTTATCATGTTAAAAATATATACTTCTACTTCTCTTTCATTATTAAGATTTTGTTAATCAGGAAAGAATGCTAAATTTTCAGTCTGTTGAGATGATTGTGGCTTTTTCCTTAATTAATCTGTTAATATGCAGAAATGTATGAATTGATTTCCTAAAAAATACCTTTGTGGGAATAATCTCTCTTAACCAAATCTGATTTGTTAAAATTTATTTGCACCAATATTTATAAATTTATAAAATTAAAAGTTTATTATTTCTTCTCTATTAGAGTTTGGTGTCAGCATTATGATAGTTTCAAAACTTAAGAGTTTCTCTATAATCTTGATTATCTATATCCTATCTAATAATAGAGAAACATGGTAATTAACTATAACTTCACTACCTTTCCCATTGGCTAATCAGCGAGATATGCAAATTAACTGCCAACCAAGATGGTGGCCGGCAGCCACGCAGCTGAAGCAAACATGGGG